CCCTGCATGGCTCCATGGGAGTCTGACAACCAATCAGGATACCTGCCCTTACACAGGAACAGGAAGCTCTAAGGTGGGGCCCAAGAGAGGGTATAAATATAGATAGATAGATAGATATCTTCCATGTGCTCTTTTGGCCCAGGACCTCAAATCATGTGGTCCTGTCCACCATTAAAGCATCTTTAATGGACCCGGATGGACATTTCTTCCAACAATTTGGCACCCAGAGATGGGACTCCAAGCTAACCTGACCAATAGATCTGGCCCAGGTAACCTCCCTTGCCGGCAGCGACCGACTGAGACTGTGGGTGAGTTTTCCTGGACCTTGGCCATTTGGAACAAAGGTTTTAAAGAGGTTTTGAGTGTTGAGTTCAAAGGCTGCTTGGAAAGAAGGTGAGCTCTGTACTTCCAAGAAATAGGTCTATATGGCATAATGTAGTTCCAGGACTCAAAAAGTCTCCATGAAAATAATAGTTTTTAACACATTTTTTATTTATTTATTTATTTATTTATTTATTTATTTATTTATTTATTTATTTATTTATTTATTTATTTATTGGTTCGATTTATATGCCGCCCTTCTCCGGAGACTCAGGGCGGCTTACACTGCGTTAAGCAATAGCCTTCATACTTTTGTATATACCTGTTTAGTAGGGCTTTCGGCCCCCCCTAAGCGGTGTTCTTTTTTATACAAAGTCAGCTTATTGCCCCCACAATCTGGGTTCTCATTTTACCTACCTCGGAAGGATGGAAGGCTGAGTCAACCTTGAGCCTGGTGAGATTTGAACTCGCAGTAATTGCAGGCAGCTGGCAGCTAAGTGCTATTTAACAGCACTTTAGTCCGCTGCTCTACCAAAGCTCCTTGTTGTAATCTGTCTCATATATAATATTGCATTTGGATAACTATCCGCCAACCCTTATCCCAATTTCAGTTGGACATCTGTTTAGCCACTCCTTATATCTGATAAAATGAGACGTAACTCACAAAAATATTTTATGTTTTTTAAAATGTGTTCATAGAAAATAATGTACCAGCCACCTCCTAGTTCCAGGATCTGAGTAAGTTTAGTTTGGCTGTAGAATACCTGTGAATGTGGTAAGCAAGTATATATACATTCAGCAGTGGTTTTTGTCTGGATACAGCAGAAATTCAGAAATTCATTGGTAAGGAAATGCACCTCTTACTGGAACAAAAACTAGTTATAGAATTACTTATTGATTAGTTCTGAAAAAGCCATTTAGCCATCCTTCCAAATGCCAGGCATTTAAGGTGCTTCACGTAATGCACACTAAAAATATATATGAATCATAGATAATAATGATATTAGTATAAAAAGTAGAAAGAGGGGCACGTAACTAAGGCAGAATATCAGCAAATAGCCCAACCCTGCAAAGATGAAGTGAGGAAAGCCAAGGCTCACAACGAACAAAGGTTTGTGACAAAAGTAAAAAATAACAAAAAAAAAAACTTGTTCCAATATGTTAAAAACAAGAAAAAAGTCAAGGAAATAATTGGTCCATTGCTGGGAGAAAGTGGCAAGAAGGTGACAAGCAACAGGGAGAAAGCAGAACTACTTAACTCATTTTTTGTATATGTCTTTACGGAAAGGGAAAAAACAATCCAACCTATCAAAAACAGCACCACAAAAAAACAGATTAGGAACATAAGTTAAAATAGGGAAGAAAATGGTAAGGGAGCACCTGCCTACTCTAGACGAGTTCAAATCACCTGGGCCAGATGGATTACACCCCAAGGTTCTGAAGGAACTGGCAGATGTGATCTCTGAACCACTGAACTATATCTTTCAAAGATCCTGGAGCACCGGGTAACTGCCAGAGGACTGGAAAAGAGCTGATCGTTCCCATATTCAAAATAGATCCAGGAAACTACAGACCCATCAGCCTGACCTCAATACCAGGGAAGATTCTGGAAAAGATAATCAAGCAACAAATCAGCAAACGCCTAGAAGCAAACAAAGTAATAACCAAAAGCTAACATGGGTTTGTCAAAAACAGAACATGTCAGACGAATCTTATTGCATTCTTTGACAAAGTGACAAAACTAGTGGACCAGAAGAATGCTGTCAATATAATTTACTTGGATTTCAGTAAGGCATTTGACAAAGTAGACCATAACCTACTACTTGATAAAATAGAAAAATGTGAGTTAGACGGCATCACCACCAGATGGATTCGTAACTGGCTGACCAACCGCACTCAACATGTAGGCCCAGTACTCTTCAACATATTCATTAATGATTTGGACAAGGGGATATATGGGGAACTCATCAAATTTGCAGACAACACCAAGCTAGCAGGAATAGCCAACACTCCAAAAGATAGGCTTAAGATACAGAAAGATCTTGATGGACTTGAATATTGGGCACTATCTAACAAAATGAAATTCAATGGTGAAAAAAATAAGGTTCTACATTTAGGCAAGAAAAAAAATGCACAGGTACAGTATATGTGGTATCTTGCTCAATAGTGATGACTGAGAGGGATCTTGGAGTCCTAGTGGACAATCACTTAAATATGAGCCAGTAGTGTGCTGCAGCTGCCAAAAAAGCCAACACAGTTCTAGGCTGCATAAACAGAGGGATAGAATCTGGATCACATGAAGTGTTAATACCACTTTATAATGCCTTGGTAAGGCCATACTTGGAATACTGCATCCAATTTTGGTTGTCACAATGTAAAAAAGATGTTGAGACTCTAGAAAAAGTGCAGAGAAGAGCAACAAAGATGATTAGGGGACTCGAGGATAAAACATATAAAGAACGGTTGCTGGAACTGGATATGTCTAGTCTTATGAAAAGAAGGATTAGGGGTGACATGATACCAGTGTTCCGATATCTCAGGGGTTGCCACAAAGAAGAGGAAGTCAAACTATTCCCAAAGCATCTGAGGGTAGAACAAGAAGCAATGGGTGGAAACTAATCGAGGAGAGAAGCAATTTAGAACTAAGGAGAAATTTCTTGACAGTTAGAACAATTAATCAGTGGAACAACTTGCCTCCAGAAGTTGTAAATGCTCCAACACTAGAAGTTTTTAAGAAGAGATTAGATAACCATTTGTCTGAAGTGGTGTAGGGTTTCCTGCCTAAGCAGGGGGTTGGACTAGAAGACCTCCAAGGTCCCTTCCAACTCTGTTATTCTAATGTTCAATACTGCTGCAAAAATAATGCATCCCTCCATTTCTTTTTAAACCAGTTTGCAAGTACAGATAGTTGTGGGATAAGGGGCATTCAAGAATGTGGAGTGTTGCTTCCCAGCTTAGCAACCTTCATATGTGTTAGTTATCAGCCCCTAGGATGGGGAAGCCAAGTTTAGATGGAAAGACAAAAACTGGAAGACTGTGAGTTCTAGTCCTGGCTTAGGCAGAAAGCCAGCTGAGTGACTTTGGGCCAGTTATACACACTGAGCCCTAGGAAGAAGGAGGCAATGGTCAATCATTCCCAAAGGCTTGCCAAGAAAACTGCATCATGGGAAGGATGCATGTGAAGATATGACCCGAACAAAGGGTTCCAGAAGCGCAGTCAAGAAAGGAAATATATTTCAAAGAAAGAAAAAAGAAGAAGCAGAATCAACTATAAGGAGGGAAAATGGAGCGGACAATCACCCATTGCTAGGCACAATCTATCTCTTTTAGGTGAAATGTCCTTCCTTAATTATACCCACTTGTATTTCAGTGATGTTGTAAAGGTAATCTCGACTTAATTGAGATGAGAATTTCCATTGCTAAGCAAGGCAGTTGTTAAGTGAGTCACACCCCACTTTGTGCCCATTTTTGTCATATTTGGTAAGCAAATCACTGCAGTTATGTGAATCATGCAGTTGTTAACTGAGTCTGGCTTCCCCTGTTGACTTTACGTGTCAGATGCCAGCTAGGAAGTTTGCAAATGGCAAACACATGAACCAGGGACGTAAATATAAACTGGTTGCCAAGTATCCAAATTTAGATCACATGACCATGGGGTTGCTGTGATGGTCATGTGAAGGACCAATTGTAAGTCATTTTTTTCGATGCCATTGTAACTTCAAATGGTCACTAAACAGATGATTGTAAGTAGAGACTCTTGCTGAGTCACTTTGCTTTAATATTCTACTCTGCATCCTTTAAGCGAAGTGATCTACTAGATCACGGGTGTCAAACTCGCAGCGTCACATTGCCATCATGTGACATTTTGCAATGTTTTTCCCCTTCATGGGGCTGGGGTGGGCGTGGTCTGCGCCTGACACATCTGGCATTGTATGTCCCTTACTAAGAGAAAAAATACCAGTTTTGTGATAGTGATGCCGTTTAATATAATAATAATTTTATCAGTAGATGGATATTGTATGTAATGTAGTGGAGATCTCAGTCATTATGGTAGACTGACTTATATTCATCTAGTACAGGGGTGTCAAACTGGCAGCCCACGGGCCAGATGCGTCACGCACAGGCCACGCCCACCTTAGCTCCACAAAGGGGGGGGAATATCACGAAACGTCACATGACGGCAATGTGATGCAGCGAGTTTGACACCCGTGATCTAGTAGATCACTTCGCTTAAAGGATGCAAAGTAGAATATTAAAGCAAAGTGACTCAGCAAGAACATTTTTTATCAGGTTAAAAATGCATCTTAATGAAAGTAACATGTTTGCCCAATTCATACTTTAGGCCAGTGGTTCTTAAAGTGGGGGTAAATACTCCCAAGGGACTTGTACATATCCTGGGATTAATGGAGCAATTTATAATTGCTTGTTTGTGAGTTCAGGATCCAGTTTCAGACTGCCATTGTCAACACGCTTGTATAAAAGAACCACCTAGTAGGTTGGTTTTTTGGTGTGGGTAATGCCATTATGTCAGACCAGAAAAAGTAGTAATTGGGTCAAACCATTTAAGAACCACTAGTTTAAATGATGACTTGCATTCAAGGGAGACGTTTACTTTGATCTGCTAACCCTTGGGGAAGAAATAGCTTGCTTTAATTTGTTTTCCACTTTGTTTGTTTCAGTTCTCTCAAGTCAGACCCATCATAGCCCTCTGAAACGGTCTGTGTCCCTCACCCCACCCATGACTGTGCCTAGCCAGCCCCTTGGACACGGATGGATGTCTCATGAGGACTTGCGGGATAGGGGACCCCAGGGCATCCCTTCCGATCATGCCCCCCTGTCTCCGCAAAGCAGTGTAGCCTCCTCAGGCAGTGGTGGGAGTGAACATTTAGAAGATCAGACTTCTACTCGTAACACATTCCAGGAAGAAGGGAGTGGTATGAAAGGTGAGTGGAAAGTAATGAACGTTTTCCCTTCCTGTCCTGATTGCTTAACAACATGTGTGCCCACATTCACACAAAGTCCCAAAGTTGTTTGAAACACATTCTTCTAAAGCAGAATATAGAGACGTTTTAATTCCATGTCTGACCTTAGGCTGCAGTTTAAAACTCTTCCATTAAACAGGTTGATTTGCAGGAGTTATTCCTGTCTATTGATTAGCTGAGATGGGATACCTCCCCTAGGACAGCTATTAAGCTAGGTGAAAAAAATACCACATTCTGTAATCCAAATTTCAATATGGAAAGTATGAAGCACATTAAATGAGTGTCAGCTTTCCCAGCCAAACCAGATAGAAAACACAACAAAATGAACTAATTCTACTTTATTGTAAGGCTCCTTTAACACAATCTAACAAGTCACAAACTTCCTGCTTTCATTTTAACTGTTTGATCCATTAGAGCAGGTCTTTCTTAAGTTTCTTTCTCTGGCCATTAAGTGACTGTGGGGTCCTGCATCTCTTGTCTGTTTCCTAGACAGCATCTCCTCCTCTTTTTCCCCAATATCATTCATTGCAGTCCATTACACTGGGTTCGTCCTCTGCATTGAACCATACCTTGGCTTATTTTGTTTTACTTATTATGTTGTGCAGGCAGGTAGTTGCTCTATATTTGATAAACACTGATTAATAAACCAGAGTTTAGCGGAGCATGTGAGCCCACTCAGTAGAAAAAAAATACATTTGGAATAGCTGGCTGAGGAAAAAAAGAGAGTTGGGGTTCTGGTTTATGCATATCAAACACACACAAGAACACAAAATGAAGAGAACTAATGAATCTTCTGGGCAAGTATGGAAGAACAGGCTGCTTAGCAAAATTGTAGGCACCTGTGCAAACTTCTTTCCCTCCCATCTGAGGTTTCTCCCCAGCACAGCCAATAAAGCTACAACCTTGAAATGGGTGTGAGGGGGAGATGTGTGCTTTGGAGCTCTGCAGCCACTAGCAAACAGTACAGTAGCTGAACAATAAAGGCATTCTTGGCCTTGTCTTCTTAAGAGACTAACAGAGTTGGAGGGACCTTGGAGATCTTCTAGTCCAGGGGTCAACAACCTTAAACACTCAAAGAGCCACAAAGGTCCTAACCGGAAGCGCCCCCCACCCCTCAATTCTGGAGCCGGCCGGAAGTCCAGTTCCCCCACCATAGAATCTCCTCTTAGCGCGGCATCCTTTTTCCCATGCCTACCGGAAGTCCGGTTCCCCCACTATAGAGTCTCCTCCTAGCATTTTATTTATTTGTTTGTTTGTTTGTTTGTTTGTTTGTTTGTTTGTTTGTTTGTTTGTTTATTTATTTATTTATTTATTTATTTATTTATTTATTTATTGAATTTTTATACCGCCCTTCTCCCGAAGGACTCAGGGCGGTGAACAGCCAGGGTTAAAATACATGCAGTATAAAAATTAAAATAATTTAAAAATAATTAAATCCAATTTGGCTTTCCAATTTTAAAACCCCTTACCCATAAAAATTAATCAATTAAAATTTTAAGCCAGCCCGGCTCGCTGAAACAAGAAAGTCTTCAGAGCCTGGCGGAAAGTACGGAGGTCCGGGATCATTCGTATCCCTGGGGGTAGCTCATTCCAGAGGGCGGGTGCCCCCACAGAGAAGGCTCTCCCCCTGGGGGTCGCCAGTCGACATTGCTTGACCGACAGTACCCTGAGGAGACCCTCTCTGTGGGAGCGTATTGGCCGGTGGGAGGTTATCGGTGGCAGAAGGTGGTCTCGTAGATATCCAGGCCCTAAGCCATGGAGCGCTTTAAAGGTGAGAATCAAAACCTTGAAGTGCACCCGGAAGACCACCGGAAGCCAGTGCAGCTCGCGCAGGAGAGGTGTTACATGGGAGCACCATGTCACCCCCGTAATCACCCGCACGGCTGCATTCTGGACCAGTTGGAGCCTCTGGGTGCTCCTCAAGGGGAGCCCCATGTAGAGAGCATTACAGTAGTCCAGGCGGGAAGTAACGAGGGCATGAGTAACCGTGCATAAGGAGTTGCGATCCAGAAAGGGGTGCAGCTGGCGTATCAGGTGAACTTGAATATCAGGCGTATCAGGCGCAACTGGCGTATCAGGCGAACCTAAAGCATGGCGCCCTTTTTCCTCTACCTGTCCCAACCGAAAGCCCTATCAATTGTGGAGCCGACCGGCGACAGGGAGCCGCAGCAGAGAGATGAAAGAGCCAATTGCGACTCCAGAGCCACAAGTTGCTGACCCCTGTTCTAGTCCAACCCATTGCTCGGCCAAGAGATCCTGTACCATTTCAGACAAAATGGTAGTCCAGTCTTTTTTTAAAAAAACCTCCAGTGATGGAACACCCACAATTTCTGAAGGCAAGCTGTTCCACTGATTGATTCCAGGTTGATTTTTCAATTCCCTAATTTGCAATCATAAGAATTCCTGGTGGTCTTCCCTTCAGGTACCAATTAGTCCTGCTTGCTCAATGCCCAGGCCAGAAAGCCTGGCCTGATTGGGCAGGGAGGGTCATGTGGCAGAAGACTGTCTATTTTTAAAGCAGGAAAAAAGGCAAAATGGGGATATTTAGAAATTCTGGATTGCCTATCCTGTAAGGCCCAAAAAGCCACCAAGCTTGAGTAATACACGATGGAAGTCACACAGTCAGACACTGGGCGGGTTCTTGGTTGCCTCTTCCCAGCTTAATATCAATTCAAATTGTTAAATGGAACCATCAGCCTCAAACGGTACAGGTAATACTCAACTTAAACAACAGTTCATTTAGTGACTGTTCGAAGTTACAACAGCACTGAAAAAAAAATGACTAATGACCATTGTAGCATCCCCGTGATCATGTGATGGAAATTCAGATACGCGGCAACTGATTCATATCTACTGTGTCCCGGGGTCACGTAATTACCTTTTGCAACTTTCTGACAAGCAAAGTCAATGGGGAAGCCAGATTCACTTAGCATCTGTGTCACTAACTTAAGCGTTTTAGTGATTCACTTAACAAGGGTGTCAAGAAAGATCCAAAAATGGCACAAAATTCACTTAACAGCTGTCTCATTTAGGAACAGAAATGTTGGCCACAATTGTGATCGTAAGCATGATTGGAAGGAATGCTATAATGGTCATAAGTGTGAAAAATTGTCACTTTTTCAGTGCCGTTGTAACGTTGGACGGTCAATAAACAAATTGTTGTAAGTCGACCACTACCTGTATATTATTTGATAGTGCAAGTCTCTCCTATTCTTATGCAATTTCATTGAATAATACATATAATAGGTTTCCTGGACCTTATTCCTCCAGATGTGTGTACATAAGTCCTTGCTGGTTGAGGATTATGAGTTGACATGCAACCCACCTAGATGATCCCAAGTTGAAAATACTCCTGTGTGTAGAGTATTTCTGGCATCTGCATTGGCATAAGAGTGGGTTTTTTTTTATCACCTTCCATGTGTTCGTCTATCTGTGCTTCCCTCCATGGCATGTTAACCAGGAGTTAGCTGGTCCCATCTCTTGCTTCTCCTTAACAGCTAAGCATGATGAGGAAACGGCCCTTTTCCAGTATCTCATTCTGCTTCTCAAGGGGGGAGCTTTGTAGGAGTTGTGCTTTTACTTCTCTTTGCTTCACATTGCTTCAGGGGACACTTAGAAGACTTGTGTACAGCTTCCCTGCTTTGGTTCAGATCAGTGTTTTTCAAACTTGGGAACTTTTAAAATGTGTGGACTTCAACTCCCAGCCAGAACTGCTTTAAATTAAAGAATGCAAAGAGGAAACAAAATTATTTGAGCAATGTCAGAATGGCAGCTCAGTAAAAAGGGCTAAACTCCAAACCTGTTAGTGGACAGCAACTAATTTGCATTTTATAATTACCATAAATTCATGCCATGCAATTATTGCTTAGGGATTGTATAAGTGTGCAACATGGTACCCACCATGATCCTGGATCTTGCAAAAATATATTATGGAGAATAAAAGTAAAATGTCAGATTCTTCACAACAACAATTCAGCAGAGCAGAGAAAATAATGTCTAATTTTCATGCACCATTTTATTATTTTGCTACAAATTTATCACGTTTGTAGGTAATTTTTAATGTAGAGGAACATTCACATGATTTCATTAGTTGGTTACTCAGCTGGTATCCCTATTGCAAACTTTTGCAAATGCAAATGCTTAAATGAGCAGATTATTTTGATGCTACAAGCTTTACAGTGTGCTTGGAATCTGGACAATTCAGCCTTATCATGAATACTCTGCCTGCTGTTTCTTCCCACTGCTATAAAAGGCTAAAAAAGCAGGAATGATTTTGAAAGCATAGTATCCTAATTATAGATCTTGGTATCCTACTTCGTTTACAGTCAGGATCACAAAGTGGGGTTTGTTCTTTCTTTTTTTGGAAACTTAGCCTGTTGGGAAACAGCAAACAAGGATCAGTATGGATAACCTGCTAATAAACCAATAAAAACTTTGTTTAGCTAGATAGATTAATGGAAGGAAGAGGGTGGGAGCAAACAGGACCTGTACATAAGCCCACTGCTCCTTCACAATAAAACACAATTCTCTAGAATACCATTGGTGGTGTGCCTGAATGATACCCTGCCCAGTATAAAATTTGTATAAATTATTTGATAAACCATTGTTTCGAAGAGCACGACATGGGTATTTTTAGAAGCCATGTGTCAGGACTACCTCCGATCAATCCCTGGGAAAGAAAACCCTTGACTCCATAGATTCAGAAGAAAGGTATTTTTACTAGGGAAGAACACTCTGCTTTGTGACATGATGTCATGCTGGTCACTTGACTGCAGAAATGTCTTCTGACAGTGCTGGTTCAATGGCCTAGAAAGGGAGATGAGTGTGCCTCCTAAAGTAGTTGGCTATGACTAGCAGAGTAAAACCCACAGGAACTCTCTTACTTTTGCCTACAGGCAAGGACTTTTATATAGGTTTAATCTCTACGGTTTGTATAATTTTGATTCTTGCTAATTGTTGGCATAATTATTTACAATTTTTAAAATAATTTTTGCCATTGGCCCAAGCAGCTGATCATGGAGCAGATTATCGTAATGTTTGCTCTGCTACTCTTTAAGATGTAATTGTCGTGTTTGTCTGTTCCACATATAGATGTTCCTGCCTGGCTCAAAAGTCTGCGTCTCCATAAGTATGCTGCCCTTTTTTCCCAGATGACCTACGATGAAATGATGTCCTTGACTGAATGTCATCTTGAGGCTCAAGTATGTTAGATTATTTAGTAAAAAAAAAAAAAAGTTCCTGAGTTGCTTTGGCCATTTGACACCTAATCATCTAATGATCATCCAATTTAAGAGCAAATTAAACACTGTTTTTTGTTAGCACCAATTCTGCCTAAATAAATAAATACCAGATTTGAAGCAGGAAAGACATGTCCTTAGTATGAACCATTATCCTCACTGATGACAGGTACTGCTTTAAGTGGTGTGTTTCCTCCTATGGCTACAAGAGAATGCCAGCCTTACAAAAGCTTTTATACAAGCTTTTATTTGGGTTAGAGCAAACTGTTTTTTCTTTTGACCAGAGGGAATGTTATCTGAATAAAGGTCCACTCTGAATGCTCTTGTAGAGGGAATTAAAGATCAGATGATACCTGGTCCTTTTTCCTCTGACAAAATCATCACTTCTGTTTTCCTCCCCAATCTCCACTCATTCTAGATCGTATGGGGGGGGGGGATTAGGGAAATCCTTTGATCCATACCACCAGCTGGCTCTGTATCAATCTAAATAGTTAATTAGCTATTGGAACCTATTGGACTCAATTGCTTTAGTCTGGAGTGATTAACTGTGTTTCCCCCATGTGCGATATCCTGTATAGGTGTACTAATATTGTGTTCCATGTCTCTGTTGCAGAATGTTACCAAAGGTGCAAGGCATAAGATTGTGATCAGTATCCAAAAGCTAAAAGAGAGGCAGAATCTCCTCAAATCCTTGGAAAGAGTGAGTGCTCTCCATTTTTTCTTTTGAAAACAGATGAGAGTTTGGCTATTACTTCAGCTAAATATATGTATAATGCTCTGAACCTCTTTGCCCATATGTATACCTCTGTATATGTATACGGATGAATTGCTATATATAACGTAGTCACTTCCTTTCCCATAACGGGGTTTGACTTTTGGTTTAGGAGTTGTAATCTACAACCTATCTACCTACCTACCTGCCTACCTACCTACCTTTTTTGTTCATTGGTTCATTCATTGCTCCATTCATTCAGTATTTCTGTGGCTACCTATTCATACATGACTCAGGATGAGTGCCGCCATGTTCTTCACACATGCACATCCCATTGGACTTGCAAGGCAATGGGATGCGCATGCACGAAAAACATGGCAGCAATGAACATGGTGGGCGGGGCGAGCAAGTGGCGACTAGGGGACTGGTTCGGGGGTGTGGCCAACTGGCCATTGCTACCGGTTCGGCGACGTTGGCCAAATTTCCACCGATGGTTCACTCGAACCGGTGCAAACTGGCTGAATGCCACCTGTGGACCACTTGCCAAGAGCCTTGTGATCATGTGATTACCATTTCTCTGATGACTTCCTTAGAAGGTCACTGGGAAAGTTATCAGGGAAGATTGCAAGCTAATTGGCTACCTGCCAATGCTACCTGCCCAGGATAGCAGTTCCTGCCCTCTCATCTCTGGGGTCTGGCTAAAAGTGCTCCCTGCTGAAAGATTTCGAATTTGTGCCTGCTTGAAGTTTGGCTGCAGAAATCACTTTTTCAACAGGCCTTGTGGATGGGAATGTTAAAATCTGTTCCTTTTTCTATTCTAAAGATTAATGAAACTGAGTTCCATTTCTCTCAGGGACTTCATTTTTATTATATTGTATTGGTATTTTAAACTATACAGTTTAACCTTATTTGTGTGAACAAGGTAAGCAAGCTGTTCAGAGTCAGCTTTGACTGGAGGGATATATAAGCCCTGTAACTAAGCTAACAGAAAAATCAATAAAGTGGCCCTACTTTGTTCCAGCATGCGAGCACCCAATTTGGAAAGGCCAGCACTTGCTTGCCATTATACATTCTCACATTGTCCAACCCCCTCTGTCTGTATTCATGAGCATGCCGTTGTGGGTAGCTTTCTTTTTCTCACTTCTTTTAAAATTTTGTAATCGTATTCTCAAAATGTATATTTTCACCTAAAAGCTAACAGGGTCATTTGCAAGAGTTCTCATAGAAAAATCATCAAAACCTCATCAGATCTTGTGTGGGATTATCGGAGACATATACAATATTGCGTGACATGTTCACAATCTTGCTGGTGTTTCTGCAGCATCTTGAAGAGGGATTTTTTTTTTAGCAGCCTTGCATCAGATCTCATGATGTGTCAGCTTTTTCACACAATATCTTCCAGGCTTTTGACATATTATGTGGATGCAGCAGGAGCACCATTTTGCACCATTGAAACCGTGTTCCTACCTCTGATTTAAATCCCTGTAGATGTCACGCTGTTTAGTTACTTTATAAGTAAGCATTATGGCTCCAGTTGAATATTCGCATCTAGGGGACTCATGAAAAACAGTGAAGAATAAATGGAACTGTGTGAACGGTGCAATATTGTAGGTTACGGAAGTGTTTAGAGCTGTTGGTAAGAAACAGAAGTTTGCTTGCTAAGATTGTCTAAAGGGAAAGTTAGCTGTAAGAGTGGCTTCTCTGAAGTACTTTTGTTTCTTTCAAGATAAAATATTTAGGCTGGGAGATTAATCTTATTAAATTAAATAATTTTATTTTGCTAACTTTGATACTGAAATGAATTTTTTTATATCCGAGGAGTAAGCTTTGAATACAGAAACAGAAAACAGGAAAAATTTATCACCTGTTTACATGGAAGCTAGCCATGTTGGAAACAGGATGTTAATGTAGATGGACCTTTGCTCTTATACTCTTACAGGAGGTCCAATGTCATGGTTTCTCCTCTCCCAGTAGAGGCTGGGAACTATAATTGTATGAAGTTGATAAGTTCCATTACCATCAACCTTCCTAACAAAATGACTAATAATTTCTAGATTGCAATTCATATAAATATGTCAAAATTATTTCTAATTGAACATTAGGAAAATCTTCAAGTGAGAGTAAGGATCACATACAAATTATTGATGGAGACCTTTTCTCTGTTTATGCTGAAGCAGACACTAGAGAGCCACCTGTTAGGAGTGAGTTAATTTACATTGATTTTCATCAATCCTCCCATCAATTTATTCTAGATCAGCTAAAAAATAGGAAATGATATGGAGGAGCAAGGATTTTAATCCAGATTTCATAAAATAAGGATTTGAACCCAGATTTCACAGAATCAAGGCAGGGTGTTTGTTACAGTTTTGGCTTAGATGGGTGTGTAAACTCAGTGACTGTTATCTATGAACAATTATATAGGGTTTAGCATCAAACCCAACCGGTTTTTATTTATTTTACAAACCATGATTAAGTGAGTCATGGATGGTTGCAATGTATGAACCAAAGCTAAAATGACATTTTTAGTGTCTTATATTCTGCTGACTTGTCAGGTGTTAAACGTTCATTAGGCTTCTTCTTTGGGTCATCTTCCTGATTTATCTTATGCAAGTTCTATTGGATATTTCATTGATACTCATGCTTGGCACAAAACTGTGACATTTATGGGATGGTTCAGGATTTGAGATGCTCATGGGTGGGTCTGTTTTGCTACCCGCAGGATATCCTAGAAGGAGGCAATCTGCGCCTCCCATTGCAGGAGCTTCACCAAATGATCCTTACCCCAATCAAAGCGTACACTTCTCGGAACCTGTCAATGGATGAGCACAGTTCTCATCTCCATCGACCAACTTCTCTGATTGGCTCAGACAACCCAGGGTCGGATTGCAAGGACTCTGCCTCAGGAGGAATGCAGCACCACACCTTACCCGGTTGTGAGGGGGAAACTGGAGGTATCCCTTTGCCAGAAGGAGACATCCCAGGACAGTTTACTAAAGTGATGGGAAAAGGTCAGTTTGCTTTTTTTATTCACGGTCCACTTGTGCCTGTTGCAAGTTGTCATTCATTAGCCAGTCTGGTCCAGGGAGTTCATACTCAGTTAAATACCCTGTTTCCCCAAAAATAAGCCTTCCCTGAAAATACTTAAACGCAGAGCTGGAAATCAGATAAGACGGCAAGAGGAACCCCCTCTTGCTTGACGGGCTCCAAAATAAGACCTCCCTGAAAATAAGGCCAAGCGCTTATTTCGGGGTTCAAAAAAATATAAGACAGGGTCTTATTTTCAGGGAAACGTGGTAATTAATGTATAGACTGCCTGATCCAAATGACTCTGGATGGTTTACCTCTAATAACAACTTATTAAAAGAAAATTACAGTTGACTGGAAGAGCAAAGTGCGAAGAACTGGAACAAAGCAAAACCAACAAGGTGGCTCCACAATCACATTAGCTTTAGCAGTGATTCAGAGAACGGAGCAATGAGGTTGAGTAGAAGGGCTCAACCTGTTTTTCCAGAATCCTGTGCAAGCAGCCAACCAGAGGCATCCATCATGGGAAGACCTAGAACAAGAATGGGTGATTAATTTTTCCAAGGGGCCAAATGGGACTGTTCTGCAGGGCTGCTGTGAGTGTCTCGATGTTACCTGCTCCCAACATCCCCCATTGCTGTTCCGACACCCCAGCCCTCCCCTCCCCTCCACCCCATCCCCACTACCAATGCCACAGGCTTAACTGAAACTACCCAAGGGCCGGTAGGCTTTAAAATGCCCAGGTCTGACCTACAAGATCAATAGTTGGGGGTACAGCCACCATTTGTTTTCCTTTTGATCCCCCCTAGTGAGTATGCCTAGTTTTACCACAATGTTTGAGAACCTCTTCCCATGTAACCCAGCACTGATTTGCTACTGTCTTTTCTGGGATTTTTTTTTTTAATTACCTATTTATTCTGGGGATTCCCTTGTGTGCTCCTATCTAAGAATAAAGTTCATATTCCTCAATTTTTGCAGTATCACTCAAGATCAGCTAAGTGCTGCCATCTGTTGTGACCCATTCAACTTGAATTAAGTTTATTGTAAATTAAATAAAGTTTTTATGGGGGCTTCTTCTTTCAAATATTAACTGGAATACTAAAGTAACGATGATCCTTTACTTGAAAAAGTATGATCTAATAGAATTAGATATTAGGTAATTCTCCTTCTCAGATCCATTTTATAACTTTAATATCGTAAGTTTAAATATAGGATCCAGTTTTCATTTTTTGTATTTTGCTTTGCATATTATTGTACCTTCACTCTGTTTGCTTTATCTGCTGTACAGGTAGTCTTCCACTTACAATACTTCATTTAGTGACTGTTTGAAGTTACAATGGCACTGAAAAAATTGACTAGAGACCATTTTTCAACTTATGACTGCTGCAGCATCCCCATGGTCATGTGATCACCTTTTGTGACCTTCTGACAAGCAAAGTCAATGGGGAAAACCAGATTTACTTAATAACCGTGTTATTAATTTAACACCTGAAGTGATTCACTTAATAAAAGTGGCAAGAAAAGTCGTAAAATGGAGCAAAACTCATTTAACAAATGTATCACTTAGCAACATAAATTCTGGGTTCAATTGTGGTTGTAAGTCAAGGTTTACCTGTATATGAACATACTTTCACTTTCTCTTCTCCTTTTCTTCCTTGTTCTGTTGTCTCATTCTGTCCCCATTTTTCCAAAATGCACATTTGCTGTTATTTGTATTCCCTACTAATGAAACTGCAGTAAAGATCTCATACTTAGATCTTGCCACTTCCCATAGTTGCAGGAACAGCAGCATTTAATAGAGGCAGCAAAGCATCAGTCCAGGGCATTTGCAACTAAAATTGACTCCAAATTGTTTGAATTCAAAATATAAATGGCTTTTAGAGCATATTTTCTTGCATATAAACAGATCCAGAATCAGTTTCTCAGATAGCAGAATCTTCCATAGAATTATAGAATACTTTTGAGTTGGAACAGCTTTTCAGGTTAAGGTCATTCCGTTGTCATCTGCTGTGTATGGATCTACTAAACTAGGGGTATCAAACACAAGGTGCGTGGGCCGAATTCAGCCCATGGGGTGCTTAGATCTGACCCGCGGGCTGCCCTTGAAACTGCAAAGGACCGGCCCGTGGTGCCTCTACCAGTGAAAATGGAGCTTGGGAAGACCACGCATGGCCCTCCCGAGCTCCGTTTTCGCTGGCAGAAGGCTAGCAAAACAAACTAAAAGCAAAACAAAACAAAAGGAGAAATGTTTCCCCTTTTGCATTTGAGCATCCAAGAAGGGACAGGAAAGGAGAAAGGGAAAGAGGAAAAGACAAAGAAAAAGAGGAGAAGAGAGCAAGGAAGGAAAGAGGGGAAGGAAGAAGAAAGGAGAAGGGAGGGAGGGAGGGTCTGAGGGAAATCCTGCCTTAGCACTTGGCTACACAGGCACCCCTGACACAAGTGATGTCAAGCTGGCCACACCCACCCTGGCCTCCCAAGGTCAAACACAACCCTGATGCAGCCCTCAATGAAATCGAGTTTGACACCCCTGTACTAAACCATCTGTGACAGGTGGCCATTCGGCTCCTTTTTGAAAATGTCCAGTGAAGGGGAGTCCACCTTTATTATACACAAGTGTTTCTGAATCTTAATAACTTTAAAATACATAGTCATCAATTCCCAGAATTCCTCAACCATGCTGGCTGGGGAATTCTGGGAATTGAAGTCCATGTATCTTAAAATTATTGAGGTCCAGAAGCACTGTTCTAGACAGACTGTTATCTGCTGTTTTACAGCTCGTGGTCAGGAACTACCTCTCATTATTCAGCCTGATTCTTATTTCTTTTGATTTTAACTCAACAACCCAGTCCTGGGTTGTTTGCTTCCCTGGTTTCAACAAAGGATAAATCTGCCCTTTCTTGCACATGACAGGTTTTCTTTAGATATTGTAAACCTCTGCAAGCTAAATTTCCTAGCTTCTTTGACAATTCCTCACAGGGTTTGGATTCTATCATTCTGGTAACTGACTTTGTTCTGGCTTTTGTTACTCTTTTTAAGTGCATTGCCCAAAACTAAACTTGTGATCCAACAAGTGCATTTGGATAGCCATTCCCAAATTTATATTCCCAAATATAAATTTGGGATAACTATGACGTTCTATTCGAAATAATAGGTCAATACATTCAAAAGATCAAAAAGTGTGAACTGACATCTCCAGAAAAATTGTTCTGGCTGCATATCAGAATATCAGAATAACAGAATAGCCCAACTCCTGCTTAGGCAGGAAACCCTACACCACTTCAGACAAATGGTTATCCAGTATCTTCTTTAAAACTTCCAGTGTTGGAGCATTGACAACTTCTGGAGACAATTTGTTCCTATGCAATATATACAATGACTTACTGACATAATGGCCAAATGTTGGGCGGAATCTGGAGGAAGAAAGCTGGCCTAATTGGGCCCACAGACTGCACCATCCTTAGGGGTAAAAGGACTGTAGCAGAGACACACTTAAGAGCAAAGTATTTGACAATTAGACTTTAATACCTACTATTGACAAATATTGGCCTTTTAGGACAATTCAGCAATTCAAGGTGGGCTGAATTATAGCTTCTTTCATTCCTGGTCAGTTTGCTCAATTGCTTTGCTTGGCTGGGAATGTTCGAACTTGTAGCTGTTTAGTCTAGTGATTAAGGTACTAAACTAGAAACCAGGAATCACTGAGTTCTAATCTCACTTTAGGCATGAAAGCTGGCTAGATCACCATGGGCCAGTCACTTTGTCTCATCCCAGCCCACCTCACAGGGTTGTTGTTGTGGAAAAGTAAGCTAAAGTAGGAGAATTAGATATAGCAATAGCACTTAGTCTTACGTACCACTTCATAGTGCTCTCTTTAAGCGGTTTACAGAGTCAGCATATTGGCCCCCAACAATCTGGGTCCTCATTTTACCAACCTCGGAACGATGGAAGGCTGAGTCAGTCTTGAGCTGATCAAGATCAAACTCCTGGCAGTGGGCAACGTTAGCCTGCAATACTGCATTCTAACCACTGAGCCACCACAACTCTTCAGTTACCATAGTTACCACAGCGCCACAGTTCACCACCTTCAGTTATTTATAAAAATAATAGAGGATATAAATAAATTAATTAATAAATAATTCATCTCAAGGGTACTGTATTATGGCAGACTAATCTAGATATTAAGGTTTGCTCTCTATGAATCCAATATGATTCAGTATGAAGCAGCATATTTTTATTTATTTTATTTATTATACTATTTTATTGTAATAATAAAGTAATATACTGAATAACATTAAAATATTATAAAAATGTATTTGATTGTATTATGCTCATACCAGCCCCCTGGTGGCAGTGATTAAGGTATATTATTCCATGTCTGTCCTAAAGTCCTTCACATCGCTTTTCAATACTGGAGCTGGGGAAGCAGGAGGCCCAGCAGCTTCCTTTTTATAAATAAATATACATGAAATAATTCCAAGTTGACACCACAGTAACAGAAAGCAAAGGATGGAACAAAACTGAAAAAGGAAGGCATGAATGGAATCCAGCCTGTATCTCTGTACATTTTTTTTTTATTGACAGTTGTTTCCCATTGATGGCAATTCTTTTCAGGTCACCACAATGAGTTCATTCTTCAAGAGATTGAAAATAATTGGAAAATTCTCGTTAAATTTAAAGTTATGTGGTGGTGTTTGATGATGTGGTTGTTATTTTACAGTTTGTACCCAGCTCCTTGTCTCCAGACCTGACGAGGAGAATATAAGCTCCTATCTACAACTCATAGACAAATGCCTAATTCATGAGGTGAGTAATTTTAGGGAGCTGAGGGAAGGGAGGGAGATTGGCAAACTCTTGTTCTCTTCCCATTTCTTGAAGAGATTTGCTGGATTTCCTAGATATGCAAATATGACCATTTGAGCACTAATATTGGCATGGTTTAGGGATAGTATCTCAGGTCTAGGTAAAGATCAGTTCCTGCCCAGCCAGGTAATTTTGGGAAGATTCTAATACAAATCAATCAAAACCCATTGCCAGTTATTATAAATACAGTATTAAATGAGGCACTCATAATTAAGTGGGGAAATGGAGTAAATGATTTCTAAGGATCCTTTCTGGTTCTTTGCTTCTCTGTTAATAAAATGATGTTAGAAAGCTTCTGCTTTACAATAAACAGACTGATAAAAGAAACATCTCTGAATATAATTGCTATTAATTTGCTATTTCAATTAGCAAACATTTTCCTTACATGGTTGTAAATACTTTGGAGTTTTTTCCCCCTCGGTTGATAATGATCTTGCATAGGTCAAATGTTGTTGTCCTGTTCTTTGTCTGTGGTCAAACTTGGGCCTCCCTCTGTGCTGCAATTTCTCTTGTCCAATTTTGACATTCCTGTACTACACATAGCTTACTGTAACCATCTTCTGGCTTCCAGAAAACTTCAAAGCTTTGTCCAGACTTTTGACATTTTGTATTTATCAAGTAACGGTTAGCATTTATAGCCAGCTTTTCTATGACATCTGGCATTGAAGAGAGATTCCATAACATCTGGAGTACTATAAACCAAATGACCAGTTGACTGATCAACCTTAGCCGCCTATCATCATCTCACCTCATTTCCCTTTTTATAAGAGCAAATGGATCATATTAGATTTTTTGCTGTCATCCTTGCCCAGGCTTGCAGTTTAAATATAGTTGATGCTTTAAGGGAACTCATTAGTTTCAGTCCAATCTCTCATGAAGTGCTACTTTTATTCTCTCCACAAATGTTTGCCAATCTGGTGCAGTCTCTGACCAAACCTGTCTTTTTATGATAATGTAATAATATTTATTCCACCTGGCCCTTTCCTGGCCCTAGGAAAGCAAACAAAGCTATAGTTCGTTTAACCACAATTTCTTAATTAAACCTAATGAGGATTCAGAAGTAAATAAGTTTAACAAAGATAATCAAAAGAATTAGATTCTAAGTCCTATGAAGATAGATTGAACGGGCTGGAGATGTTTAACCTCCAGAAGGGAAGATTGGCTGAGAGATTATAGCACTCTTCAAATAACTGAAATTACAGAAGAAGTAGTAGAAGAAGGCAAAGGTTTGCTGTCTGTTGTTCCAAAATGCAAGAGATGGAATAATGGTAAGTTAGAGGGCAGATTCCAGTTGATTGTTAGGAACAAGATTTTTTTAATAATAGGAACAATTCAATGTGAAATGTACTGAACATCTAAACAAGATGTGCTTCTTGTGATTGAAGAGTGCAATTTCAAAGTTGGAAGTAGAAAGGAAAATATATATATAGTTGACACAGAAATAAAGGAGAACAGCTTGGTGGTTGCTGCCAATCCAATAACTTCCTGATTTCTAACCCAGTCTTCAAAGAACATGGACATGGACATGGGCAATACATGGAATGCATAGAAATTAAATTGTTTATATGATTGATACAAGTAGGTGGAAGAGGTCACTCCACCTAGAGTCTTCGGAGAAAGACGGCATACAAGTTGAACAAATAAATAAAATAAATAAATATAATAGCAACCGATCATGAATTGCTCATATACAAGTTCCAATTCAAGCTAAAACAGAAAGCCAGTCAGTTTCCAGGATATATCTTGAGCTTATAACCACAGTTTTCAAGGAGAACATTTGAAGTTTTGAACCATTTATAGGGAATCAGAGAAACTATAGTATAAAAGCAAAGACATTCTTAAAGATAAATGTGAATAGAAAAGGCCAAAGACCAAAAAACAGACAAAAACAAACTGGATGTCAGAACAAACAGTGGAAATTGCCAAGAAGAGAAGCCAGAGCCAAGAAAGACAAAATTGTAGGAAGGAACATTGAAAAGTATTTCAGAGAGCTATTAAAAAGACAAGAAACAGTATTGCAGGGAAATCTGGAAAGACATCAAAGATGAAAACAGACACAGACAAATAAGATCCAAAAGTTCTCCAAATTTAGAAAGAGGTTCCAACTTTGCATTGATTTGCTAAAAGACACCAATGGACAAATAGTAACCGATTTCAAGAAGTTCAAAGTTTTGAAGGAGTACGCTGAAATTCTGTACAAGAGAGATATCAACATCCAAGATTCCTTAGAATATCATCCCTATTTACAAGAATTTCTAGTACAGTAAGATGAAATTAAATCAGCACCTTGGTCATTACCAAGTCAGAAGGCTACAGAAATTAATAAAATATTTATAGAGATATGGCAAGCAACAGAAGAAGAAGAATCGGTGAAGATTCTAACCAAACCATATTAGCAGATCTGAAAAATAACACAACAGCCAACAGATTGGAAAAGTTACCCCAGGAGATTTAACAATATGTGCAAACTATTCTATAAATGTCCTTAATTTCATATGCTAGCAAAATAATGCATAGAGACATGTAACATAGATTGGTATCCTAAGTGGAAAGCTAGATGCCAGATGTTCAAACTGGTTTTAGAAAATATAAAGGAACATGGGAAAATATGCATACTGGGTAAATGAGAAAACCAGAGAATATAATAGAAAATAAAATAGAAAAGTCTTTGGTTGCATTGACTGTGTCAAACTGTGAAATGTCCTTAGAAAAATGGGAATCCCAAAATTTCTAATTGTTCACTAAAGTTAGACTTTAAAGAAACAAGACAGAAAGAGTATTAATGCTTTTGATAGTATTAGAAAAGGCTTCTGAAAATACCATGGTTAGCTTAGAAAATAGAGGGAGTCATAGACAAATCAATCTTGAGTATTTGCTTGAGGCAAAATAACCAGAGTCAAGTTATTATAATTTGGACCCATTTTGTGAAGACTTGGCTTTCTTGAGAAATCTATAATACTGGGAAAAATGAATGGAAAAAGAAGATGATGATGACCAGCTGCAAGTGGATGGATTAAACCACAGTGGCAGTGGGTGCCCTGTTGGAAAACCTGAAGGGTCAATTTGGGACAGATCAATTTCTGTAGTTGTTAAAGGTTGACACTGACTTGATGGCCCATCCCATTATCTCTCTGGGAATCGGTTCATCACTAACATCTTATTGTTGATTGGTTAACAACAAGATATTGAGCTAGTTCCCAGAGAGATGATGCTTAACACCAGTGTCGTGTCAAACTGGGACTAGATAGCCATCTGTTGGGAATACCTGAATCTGGATTCCTGCACTGAGTAGGGGGCCAACCCTGGTCTAGGCTAGAGTGCACCTTCCAACTTTTTCATCATGCTAAGAGACAAGTAACATTATGGCTCATGTGAGACCAATGTTTCTGAAATGTTGATGCCATGAGAACTCTGAAGTATTTGCTGCTATCGAATCCACATTAAAAGGGTGCTTGGCAACTTGCATGTGGAAAGAGCAGTAATGGCGTTTGAAACTTGGAGAGAGGCTATTTCACAGCCCTTCCATAGAATGACATGAGGATCGCAAGATTAGTCAAATTCACAGCATCAGCCAGTGGGAATTCACCTCGAGTGATCCTCAAATGCAGAAATGTCTATGGCTCAATTTGTCTTTCTCCAAAGCATAATTAAGTTGTTCTGAAAAATATAGATTTCAGACTCTTGAATGTAAAACTTGCTGTTTGAGAACAGTGGTTACCTCTAACAAGGTACTGTGTTCCCCTCATTAGTGAAATGTTTTTACTAATAAGCCAGTCATCCTAATGATGATGAAGATCACTTGTGACTTTTTCTTCTAATCATTATTCTATTTTGAATGTTTATCCCCCCCCCCCCTTTTCCCTTCCCTCCACCCTCCCATAACTCCCTCTCTTGGACAGGCATTTACCGAGACACAGAAGAAAAGACTGTTGTCATGGAAACAGCAGGTGCAAAAACTATTCAGGTCTTTCCCTCGCAAATCCATCTTAGACCTCTCGGGATACCGGCAGCAAAGAACGTAAGATTGGGGCTTCGTCCCGCAGACTCAACTCCTGGGAGTGCCAGTGCTATAGAGTGTTGGCTGTGTTAATGTCGTGGGGCTAGGCCTAGAGGGCCAGTGGGTGGGAGGCACACCCCTTGGATCTAGGAGGAGGGGGGGGGAAATCAAGGCTCACGGTTGCCCAGGAACAAGCCTAATTCAGCCTAGCAACTTTTACATTTCCACTGTGCCTGGAAACTATGGTGGGTTGAGCGATTTGTGATCAAGTGACAGGGTAGGAGTTGGAAGAAATCACACATGCAAAATTATTAATTTCCAGATTCTTGACAGGAACGTGGCTTTAGTGTGAATTAAATTATTTGCGGTGATTTATTTATTTCGGTCATTTCGGCACAAAGCTCTATAAAGCAGTTCTGTAATTCTGTGAAGCATTATTTAATTACAGTATTTTAAAGTGAGCTTGCCTTGTCTTTAATTTTAAACAAGTCATCATTCACGAGACCTTTAGCTTCAAGGCTCCCTCAGAAAGAGGGAGAATAGGGCACTTTAATCAATTTGGTATATTTATCATGAGTGAGGTGTCTTTTGGGGGTTTATAATACAGGAGGTGAATTGCATTGAATTGGATTTGCCCCATTTTGTTTTCTCAGCCGAGGATTTGGCCAGTCAAACTCCTTACCGACAGCTGGATCTGCAGGTGCAGGAATGGGCAGAAGAAACCCACGCCAATTCCAAATTCCCTCTCGAAATCTCCCCACTACACGGCTGGGGCTTTTGGGTCCCAGTGGCCTCCTAGGAGCCAGCCAGCGCAATGGAGCTGCCAACCCCACCATCTTAAAGCAAGGAAGACAGGTGGGTATCCATCAACTTCTGGGTGATCCCTGAAAGCCACAGGGCCTATGATAAAATGAGATAGAAAAGGTTAGTGCAAGCTAGAGGGAACTACTTCAAAGTGAGTGGCTAGATTGTCCCTCAGTGAAAACCTCAGTACAGATTTGTCCAATGTTGTCACTGGCCTTCTTGGGATTTTCTGTGACTGAACAGAAGCGTTATCTAAATAAAAGCTATGTGGAATTAATTTAACAGGCTTTGCTGCCACAAGGTGAAGAGATAATCATTAATTTTGATGACTTTAGAAAGGATTTATACAGATCTGTGCCAGATAACTCTGCAAAGAGGCATCCAGCCATGTTAACAAACTGCCCATTTTATAAACATTCAGATCAAAATGTAGTACAGATAAGTCTCAACTTAAACCATTCATTTAGTGACTATTCAAAGTCACAGTGGCATAAAAAAAGTGACTTATTATGACCAGTCCTTGCACTTAATACCATTGAAGCATCCCCATGGTCACATCAGTGGTGGGTTCCTCCCGGTTCAGTCCGGTTCAGCCGAGCCAGTAGCAGTGACGATATGACATCACCGAACCGGTTCTCCCCCCCGCCCCCCCACCCACCCACGTTATTCTTACCTTTTATTCGGTCCCACCCCCAATCTATTGCTGCCTCCTGAGTCCCAGCTGATGACTAGAGGGAAAAAAACTGTTTAAACTCTTGCCACGGGGCTTCAAAGGGCCGTCCTACAGCTGATCAGTGTTAAAAGCAAACAAATGAGTCGGGTCGTAAGTGCGAGGACTGGTCGTAAGTGCGAGGACCTTCCAGAAATGACTCTGACCAGCTAGCCACGCCCACCTAGTCACATGACCTCCAAGCCACACCCACAAAATAAGCCACGCCCACAGAACAGGTAGTAAAAAAAATTAGAACCCACCCCTGGGTCACATGATCAAAATCTGGACTCTTAGCAACTGGAATATGTTTACAATGTTTGCAGCATCCCGGAGTCATGTGATTTTCTACCTTCCTAGTCGGCAAAGTCAATGGAGAAAGTGTCTATGGAGATTCTCAATCACCAAGGTCAGAAATCAGCAACCTTAAACACTCAAAGAGCCACAAAGGTCCTAACTGGAAGCCCCCATTCAATTCTGGAGCCAACCAGAAGTCTGGTTCCCCCACCATAGAGTCTCCTCCTAGCACGGCATCCTTTTTCCTCTACCTGTCCTAACCGAACGCCCTATCAATTGTGGAGCCGACCAGCAACAAGGAGCTGCAGCAGAGGGATGAAAGAGCCACATGCGGCTCCAGAGCCACGAGTTGCTGACCCCTGACCAAGGTTATGGTTGTCCCAAAGATGCTTTTTTAAAAGGGAAGTGGACTTTTTTGTTTTTTTTTTTCTTTGAAAGCATTTCACTTCTCATCGAATGTTTTCAAGGAAAAAAAACAAGGAAGTCAAGATGCCTTTTGGAAGAGCACTTTTGGGTCAATGGGAAAAGCTGGATTCTCTTTACAACTATGTGATTTTCTTATTACTGCATTGATTTGCTTAACAATTGTGGGAGGAATGTCATAGAATTGGGCACGCCTTATTTAGCAATGGAAAATCTGGTCCCAATTGGAATCATAAGCTGAGAACTATCTGTATATCTTGCAAATGTCAATGCTGAAAGAAACATGCATTCATTTCATTGCCGTGAGACTGTTTTCTTTGGAGCATCTGGCAGGCAGTTGTTGAAAACTGATAGTCTTTAATCTAAAACTGTCTATCCAAAGATGGCACTCTTCAGAAAAAGTGACTTTTAACTGCCGGAATTCCTAGGGTCTGTGCGGGAGTCTTGGGCATTATACTATAATCCCTACACATGTGCATTTGTCCATTTGAGGAAAAGCTGATCTAAAATCACAATTGCAAGCTCTACATGTGTATGATTCAGAGTATGTATTTTTTTTTCTTTTATGGAAAAGAAAAAGTATTTATCACTCACCTAAAGTTCCTTTGTTACTCTCTTTCCAGTTTCCTTCTTGGACTAAACTAAACACTCTTACATTGAATTTTCAGTTTAAAAACGAAAAATGAAAGTGATTGCGCTGGCCAAAATAGTCTGCAGGCATTTCCTGTTTTCACTGTTTTCAGTGCTGTAAAGAGGTCCTGTAAAGGGGATGAGGGTTGCAGAGGGAGGAAAAATAAAATGTTTTGAGTGCAGGAGAGATGGGCCATTGGTAGGGACTGATGTTCTTAGTCTGGCCTGCTCAAAAAGCAAACGCAGCATTTGGTAGGTTAAACTGAAACTGTATAGAAGAAACACAAGCAAGTGTGTGAATTACAGTTACAAGTTTGGTGAATTTGAAGAGTTCCTGTCTTCAAAAAAAAGGGTGGGGGGAAACAGACCCAGGGAACTACAGATCAATCAGCCCAATACAAATACCTGGGAAGATACTGGAAAAAAAATAACCATAAAAAAACTAAACAAGATGGGATCCAGTTTGCTTTATGCAGAAACATAGACAAAAACACATCCAACAAGGGACTCCATCCATCTTAAGCCAAAATCTGGGGAAACAATCAAGGATAGTGTAAGTAGTCAGGGAATGGAAATGATCCAGTGTTCCAGTTTCCTCTGTCTATTTTTGTCCCGGGCTGAAAAGACAAAAGAGACGTCTTACTAGAGAATGAAGTCAATGGCAGCAGCACTCATGGCCCTTCAGTGTGATCCAACCAGATATCATTGAAATTGTTCATTAGTCAGATATAATAAAATCAATACAGGTAGTCCTTGATCAATGACCACAGTTGGGACTAGAATTTCCACTGCTAAGCAAGGCAGTTGTTAATGAGTCATGCCCAACTCTTTTGTCATGGTCGCTAAATGAATTACTGCAGTTGTTAAATGGATGAGATGGTCATTAAGTGAATCCAGCTTCTTGCACTGACTTGGCTTGTTGGAAGCTGCTGGAAAGATTGCAAACGGTGATCACATGACCCTCACGGTTGCTGCATCTGTCATAAATATATATGCCAGTTGTCAAATGCCCAGATTTTGATCATGTTATTGTGGGGTTGCTGCAACAGTCGTAAGTGTGAGGTCCGGTTGTAAATTACTTTTTTCAGTGCTGTTGTGATTTCAAACAGTCCTCCAACCTGATTCAAATTTCAAACCTCCTCTAACCCAGAGGTCTCCAGCCTTGGCAACTTTAAGGCTTCCAGAGTTCAGCAAAGCTGGCTGAGGAATTCTGGGAGTTGAAGTCCACAAGTCTTAAAGTTGCCAAGGTTGGAGACCAATGGTGGAATTCAAATTTTTTTTACTATCGGTTCTATGGGCGTGGCTGGGGAAGGATATTGCAAAATCCCCATTCCCTCCCCATTCCTGGGGGAAGGATATTGCAAAATCTCCATGCCCACCCCACTCTGGGGCCAGCCAGAGGTGGTATTTGCCGGTTCTCTGAACTACTCAAAATTTCTGCTACCAGTTCTCCAGAACCTGCTGAATAGCACTCCTGTTGGAGACCCCTGCTCTAACCTACTTCAAATGCATTTGCCCATACAGGTAGTAAGTGATTGTAAGTTTTGAGGGCTACCGTATGCGCAGATGCATTTCAAGCCAGTTGGAGAAGGTTCCATCAAATTACGGAAGGACGGAAGAGTTCCTGAAATGAACTGTTTTGCTGCCCTCTTTCCAAAAAAAGAGCAATTGTCCCTTTTCTGCTGAAATCTGGCACAGTAGCAAATTGGCCTTCTTGTATAATTCTAGGGATTGTAATGTTGCTGGGGACCCTTGCCTTTTTTGCATTTATGGCTTGCCTTATTTTAATGGCGCATGCTCTGTGGTCTCTCCATAGAATCTTTGGTTTGCAAATCCAGGAGGAAGTAACAGTATGCCCAGCCGAAGCCATAGTTCTGTACAGAGGACCCGTTCACTGCCTGTCCACACCTCTCCTCAGACAATGCTTATGTTTCAGCAACCTGGTAAGTCTCACCAGTTTCCTTCTTTCTCGGGGCTTAATCACCTTCTTATTTCCCCACTGAAAGAGTGATGGACATGTGAAAAGTACCATATGGCTTGTTAACAATTCCTTTGGGAAGACCTTTAAAAGTAATGATTTGGCAAGGCTAGAAAGGGATGAACTCTTCCCCCACCCCACCTTTTGTGTCAGTTGAATTAGAAATAAGTAATTTTCCTCTTGAGCTGGAAAACGAATCACTATTGAACTCTGGACTAATAGTCATCTGTCATGATTCGTTTAGTGGTTATTTTTAGCGTAATGCAGGAAAATTATCTTGATTTTTTTGGTACCAGCTCCTATTTACTTTGATGAAACAAATTTTCATTGAATTTATTGCGGAGAAATTGTGCATTTTGATGAAATTCTCAGAGTGAGCTAGGGTGTTCTTGAACTTAGTTATGAGGAGGCCAACAGATAGGAGCCATCCCACTGGCTTCCCACTTTTCCTTTAAACCCTCTAGGACAGGGGTCTCCAACTTTGGCAATTTTAAAAAGCTGGCTAAAGAATTCTGGGAGTTGAAGTCCACAAGTCTTAAAGTTGCCAAGGTTGGACACCCCCTGCTCTAGGAAAACTTCATGAGGGAACTCCTTCCATGGAGCTTTTTCAGACTGGGAAATGGGGGCAGTGAGGGAGACCTTAAAATGGTAAGAATAAGAAGGATAATAGAAAATAATGCCAACATAACATTACTGTCCCTTCCAAGAACCCAGTAAAACACTATTTGGAGAAATTCAAAAGAAATTCTGAGGCATCTTGAAAATAAGATAGAAAAACAGGAGCCTAATTCATGGGAAAAGAAACTTAAGAAATTGCAATACAGATCGTCCTCGACTTATGACCACAATTGAACCCAAAATGTCCATTGCTAAGCAAGGCAGCTGGTTAAGTGAATTTTGCCTCATTTTACGACCTTTCTTGCCACAGTTGTTAAGTGAATCACTGCGATTGTTAAGTAACACAGTTGTTAATTGAATCTGGATTCCCCATTGTCTTTGCTTGTCAAAAGATCACACAAGGTGATCCCATGACCCTGGGACTCTGCAGCCATCATACATGCATGCCAGTTGCATCTAAATTTTGATCCTATGACCATGGGCTGCTGCATCAATTGTAAATGTGAAAATGGTCATAAGTCACTTTTTTCAGTGCTATTGTAACTTCAAACGGTCACTAAACAAATGGTTGCAAGTCAAGGACTACATGTACAGATTCTGGCACAGCATTAGTTTATTAATATTTACTATTTTAATGTTTTATCGTGTTTAATGTATTATCAGTTTATTTAGTTGTAATCCACCTAGAATCGCCTCTAGGTGAGATGGGAATAAATCCATTATTTACTTATAGAGAACTATTCCCACAAAAAAATGCTGATGGAAGGGGCAAACCCTGCCAGGCAACAAATCCTCTTCAAGTTTTGGGAAAAACAATTTGGATTCCCAAAAGTTGTTCCTGGGCTCTACCCTCTTTAATTGTTTCTGTTGAAATAACTGGGGATATTTACAAGGAATATCATGTTAAACTATGACTTATTTAACCATAGTTTATTAAGCCCCACTTAGCAGAGTTCAAAAATCATGCTAAATTGAATTAATGATTTGCAGATACCATGCAGGATGCTAACAAATCACAAATAAATAAATGATTTATGGTATCATTTAGAGTTCATAATGGCTGGGAGTTACACAGAATGAAGTCAGAATGAAATAAACCTCATTATGACTTACCATGTCCTGGGAATATACTGAAAAGTTAGGGATATGGAGCAATCAGCTTCTAGATTTTTGTAACAGGGATTTGAATGGTGAATTCTGGAGAAAGATCTCATCGTAAGATGTCAAGTATTGTGAACAAGAGGAAAGTTAGAGGTGGCGTCAAATTGGCTCAGTCTCTGTGAACTCCGTGAACAAAAGCACAATTTGTTCCTAACTTTATTTTTAAAAAATTGAAAGTGTTTTATTCATCCATTTGTTTCTGTGCCCAATTGTGCATCTTTCTCCATAGCATGTTGTTGTCTTCTGTCTTAATTAGCCTCTTTGGTAGACATAGGTATTGCAAGGAATTGAAATCTTATTATAATTCATCTCCTTGGCTAGAGTTAATTGTCCCTTGCTGGTGGGATTATACCATCTTCAGATTGCTTCAAAATTATCTAGAAGAATTGAGAGAATTTTTGTTGAGCCTAAAATGAGAACGTCCTCTTTTTTTCCTTAAAAAAAATCACACCTTGCACTAGCTATACCCTAAAGTTCTATTTAGCTAGAGGAAAAACCTTTCAAATAATAGTGGCAGTTCTCATCTGCTATATTTAGTCCTCTCGTTATCTTTGCAGAGTTCCAAGTCCCAGTGACAGAACCCGATATCAATAATAGGCTGGAGTCCTTGTGCCTGAGTATGACTGAACATGCCCTAGGAGGTAAAAGCTATTATTTTTTTCTTCTCTCTTTTATGCTCAGATTAAAATTGCATCAAGCCTTTCTGATACTGTGATCCCCAAGGCTCAGACTCCTGCTACGTGGGTAATAGGGATTTAATATTTGAAAGCTGCATGTATGCAAACTCTTACTTTTGCCATCGGAGTGGTAATCTTTGCAGTTTCAGACTTTCCTTCTCCATTAGGCACATCAGCAGCTGGACATTAATTCAGCTTTAATCCAACCACATTAGAAGCATTAGTGCTATTTGTACTTGTTCTCTGATCTTCCCCAATAGCTCATCAAGTTGCTTCCAACCTGGGGGTTCACCTGCCAGTATAATGTTGACTTTGTCCTGATTGGGAATGTCTGTGTTTCTGGAAAAATACTAGAGCTTGTTTGTCCCAAAGGTGCTTTTTGAAGAGGCATCTAGACTTTCTGGTTTTTCTTTGAAGCTGTTTTGCTTCTCATCCAAGAAACTTCTTCAGACAGAAAGTCCAGTGGCCTCTTGAAAAGCACCTTTGGAACAACCATGACTTGGATGACCGGGAATCTCCATAAACAACTCCATAGACAAATAGAGTGTGTTGCCACTTTCTCCAGTAGATCATATTCCTCATCTATCATCTGCCCATTATCTATGTCTCAAGTCGGTCTGGAACAGGGGTGGGTTCTACTTACCTTTACTACCAATTCGCAACGGGGCCGCACATGCACAGAAGCGTTTTGATGACATCGGGGCGGGTGGGCGGAGCCTCCCTCTGGTTTTACTACCGGTTCTATAGAACCGGTCCGAAGCGGAGGCAACCCGCCACTGGTCTGGAAGCATCCAGGTCAAGGCTTCAAGATTTGATTCAGAGGGTTGCTTTGTCTCTTCAAGTGGCATGCACAATCCTAATATTTATCATGGTTATCAGTATTTTCCATCCCATCTACTCAATGAGCTTAATGCATCAATTATAAGAAGAGTAAATTCACATAGAGTTAAAACAAATACTAAAAACACTCAAGGGTATCCACAGGGCATGGTTAAAAAAAAAAAAAAAGTAGCCATAACAGTGCATTCAAAACTCTGCCTTTTTAAAAATGTTTCACACATAAATAAAAGCATGCAGAGCTTTTCTCAAACCATCATGGCCACCATCTTCCATTTTGGCCCATATCCTACAAACAGTCCTGAAAACATTCATTAGAAGCAACCGTTGCTAAAATTAATAAAAGCAGTAGAAATCCAAACAGGAGACCCCTAGAAGATGAATCAGAATTTTAATGTGTAACCAGAAAGGAGATGAAGCTGATGGTTTTTACATTCATGATACAAAATCATTCACTCTCAACCCAACCCACCTCACAGGGTTGTTATGGGGAAAAGAGGAAGAAGAAGGTGTGTTGGATATGTTTGCCACCTTGAGTTATTTGTAAAAATATTGAAGGGAAGATATAAATAAAAATAATAATATAACGGCAAATTCATTTCATTATTGTATGTGCAAATGTCCTGAGATTTTCCTGGTTTCTAAAAGAACTTCAGTTGGGTTGGTAGAAAAGGAAGGGGAAAAAACCTTCTTTTGCTTTTAAAAGACAACTTGCTGAGATATTTCATAACAAGACTCTGCTCCCTATACATTGTTTTTATTCTGGAAAGATCAAGCAAGGATTGTCCTCTACATAACATCTTAAAGAGAGAGAAAAGGATTGTTTGAACTGATTTTTTTTTCCACATGAACATTAAGCAAGATAGGATGGGTTTTTTTCTGTTAGGAAAAAACAGTAGAAGAAATGAAACCTAGATATCGGACCCACAAACGTTTGTTTGACTAACCACATTAACAGGGAGAACCTTAATAGCTGGCCTTGGAATAGGCGACGATTAAATATAGTTGTGGGACTAAGGATGGACCAGCTGTCTCCATCCTTAACAAAACCCACTGTGTGTCTCCTCCATATGTGCTTACGTAACTTACAAGCCACAGCCGTACCAGCAGACTTCAAAAGTATTTCCTCTGTCTCGTTCCTGTGCTAAATGGAGAACATTATGCAGGTTTGGGAGTTAGAAGGAAGGGGGGAGGCAGGAGGTGAAGTTTAAATAGACAGCGGCTCCAAAGTTTAAATAGACAGCGGCTCCTTTCCATTTCTTTTGCCCTCTTTGAAGTTGTCCAGTGTAGGGCTACCAGATCTAAGCTGCAAAAAGACTACCGTATTCATCAATAATGACTAGATAATATTGAAGACATACAGAAAAGTTTTAACTTCTCTGTCATCTAGGGGTTGTCCAGCTTTTTGCAGCCCAGATCTATTGATGCACTTTAAAGATACACAGTAGAAAGTATTGAGAGATAGAGGCATGGTTCATCACGAGGACACACAGTATTGTGGCTTCTTTTGGACACTGAGGATGATAAAGGATGCCTTGTGTATCAGAATCAAGCCAGCTGTGGTTTATTCTGTTCAATCATGGTCACGAAAACCATTGTTTAGCACAGTGTTTCTCAACCTTGGAAGCTTGAAGATGGGTGGACTTCAACTCCCAGAATCCCCCAGCCAGCAGCGCTGGCTGGGGGATTCTGGGAGTTGAAGTCCACCCATCTTCAAGCTTCCAAGGTTGAGAAGCACTGGTTTAGCACAATGTGTGAACCAGTCTTTGATGCAGTTGAAAGCCACCAAATAGAAATTCGTACTGCTGAATGAAGACATTTATCTTAAAACAGAGAAAACCACAAGGTTCTTTAAGGTGACAATTATAAAGCTACCAACTGTCCAAGTGTAAAATGGTCACTAATAAAATACACAGTGCAACTAGTGATTTATTTTTTAAAAGACAACTTTAATAAATAAATTGAACCTTTGTTTATCCACTCCAGTACATAGGAAAGGAACCACATCATTACCTCCTGCCTGTAGATAATCCCAGGTTCGTTGTCTATCAATTCTAGCTAAAAGACACTGATTGTATTAGAATAGCTGAGCAATAAGCCTTACCTGGTAAAAAGTATTTTATTCTTTTCTTGAGGAGCTACCAAGAGAAAGGAGGGAAAGAAGCTGGTGTCAGAAGGTTAACAACTACTTGTTATTAAAGGCAAATCCACACAGTGATTTTGATGGAGTTACAAGGGTTGTTTTGGATGAGTGGATGGATGAATGAATGTGCTTTGGTGTTCTTTTTGCTACTAGTCATAGATCGCCATCTGTTGGATTTGCTGAAGCATTGTCCCCATAATGGCACGTAAAATGGTATCTCATTCACATAATATTGCAATGCTGAACAAATTGGAACAGGAATGAGTTTGGGACAGAAAGGGATTCCTGCTCTTGTCTCGATTTGTCTTGTTCAAGTCCCCACTGAATCCAATTGATTAGAATTTATTTTATTTTATTTTTATTTTATATTGGATTTCTATACCGCCCTTCTCCCTAAGGACTCAGGGCGGTGTACAGCCAGATTAAAAAAACATGCAGAACAAATATTAAAAACAATTAAAAGATATATAAATTTGGCCCAATTAAAACTCATTTACCAATTAAAAACGTTTAAAACATTTAAAAACAGTTAAAAATTTCATCTTAAGCCAGCCCGGCTTGTTTAAATAAATGGGTTTTAAGGGCGCGACGGAAGGCACTGAGGTCTTGGATTCTCCTTATCTCTGGGGGGAGCTGATTCCAGAGGGTAGGTGCCCCCACAGAGAAGGCCCTCCCCCTGGGGGTCACCAGCCTGCATTGTTTGGCTGATGGCACCCCGAGGAGGCCCTCTCTGTGGGAGCGCACGGGTCGCTGGGAGGTCGTCGGTAGCAGCAGGCGGTCTCGCAGATAGCTAGGCCCTATGCCATGGAGCGCTTTAAAGGTGATAACCAACACCTTGAAGCGCACCCGGAAGACAACTGGGAGCCAGTGCAGCTCGCGCAGGAGCGGTGTTACATGGGAGCGCCATGCTGCTCCCGTCACTACCCGCGCTGCTGCGTTCTGGACCAGCTGGAGCCTCCGGGTGCTCCTCAAGGGGAGCCCCATGTAGAGAGCGTTGCAGTAGTCAAGGCGAGAGGTGACGAGGGCATGAGTGACTGTGCACAGGGAATCCCGATCAAGAAAGGGCCGCAACTGGCGAATCAGGCGAACCTGACAAAAGGTCCCCCTGGTTACAGCCGTCAGATGTTCCTCCAAGGACAGCTGCATATCCAGGAGGACTCCCAGATTGCGAGCCCTCTCTGTGGGGGCCAATGACTCGCCCCCAATAGTCAGTGATGGAGTCAACTGACTATATCGGGATGCCGGGAGCCACAGCCACTCAGTCTTGGAAGGGTTGAGCTTGAGCCTGTTCCTCCCCATCCAGACCCGTACAGCCTCCAGGCACTGGGACATCACTTCAAGGGCATCGTTGGGGTGGCCTGGGGTGGAGATGTACAGCTGGGTGTCATCAGCGTACTGGTGGTATCTCACCCCAAAGCCACGGATGATCTCACCCAGCGGCTTCACATAAATGTTGAACAGAAGGGGCGAGAGGACCGATCCCTGCGGCACTCCACAAATGAGAGGCCTCGAGGTCGACCTCTGCCCCCCTGCCAACACAAACTGCGACCGGTCGGAGAGAAAGGAGGAGAACCACCGCAACACGGTGCCTCCCACCCCCAACTCTTCCAGCCGGTGCAGCATGATACCATGGTCGATGGTATCAAAAGCCGCTGAGAGGTCTAACAGGACCAGAACAGAGGAACAACCCCTGTCCCGAGCCCTCCAGAGATCATCAACCAACGCGACCAATGCCGTTTCTGTGCTGTGCCCAGACCTGAAACCCGACTGGAACGGATCTAGATAAGATGTTTCCTCCAGGAATTGCGGAAACTGTCGTGCGACCACACTCTCAACAACCTTCGCCATAAAGCGAAGGTTGGAGACAGGACGATAGTTGGCCAATATTGCCGGATCCAGGGACGGCTTCTTGAGGAGAGGCCTCACCACCGCCTCTTTCAAGGCGGTGGGGAAGTAACCCTCACTCAACGAAGCGTTGATAACACCCTGGAGCCAGCCTCGTGTAACCTCCCGGGAAGCCAGTACCAACCAGGAGGGACACGGGTCCAGTAAACATGTGGCCGCACTAAGTCTCCCCAAAATCCTGTCCACATCATCAGGAGTCACAGCATCAAACTCCTCCCAGATAACATTCTCAAGACTATTCCTCGTCACCCTGCCCTGATCTACCCAGTCAGAGTCCAAATCCCCCCGGATCTGGGCGATTTTGTCATACAGGTATTGTCCGAAATCCTCCGCCCTGCCTTCTAAGGGATCCTCCCGCACTCCTGGATGGAGCAGGGCGCGGGTCACCCTAAACAGGGCAGCCGGACGATTCCCTGATGACGCAATAGAGGCGGAAAAGTAGTTAGACTTTGCCGTCTCTATCGCCACTAGGTAGGCCTTAATATGCGACCTTACCAGTGTTCGATCAGATTCAGCGAGACTGGCCCTCCAACCGCTCTCCAGGCGTCTTTTCCGGCGCTTCATTTCCCTCAGCTCCTCAGTAAACCAAGGAGCCGCACGGGATCGGCATCGGGTCAGAGGCCGCAAAGGCACAACTCGGTCCAAGGCCCCACCAGCCGCCCGATCCCAGGCGGCTACCAGGTCCTCGGCCGAGTCATGTGCTAGATCCTCAGGAAATGGCCCAAGCTCCGTCTGGAACCTATCAGGATCCATCAGGCGCCTGGGGCGGATCCATCTAATTGGATCCACCTCCCTGCGGCGAGGGGTCGCGGTTCGAAGATCTAGGCGAAGGAGTGAGTGGTCAGACCATGACAAGGGTTCCATGTCTATATCCCCTATAACAAGACCACTCAACCACTGGCCAGAGACAAAAATCAGATCCAGAGTGTGACCTCCCCTGTGAGTAGGGCCATGAACTAACTGGGTCAGGTCCATGGCCGTCATGGAAGCCATGAACTCCCGAGCCACCTCAGACGTTTCCCCGACGGATGGCAAGTTGAAATCACCCATGACTAAAAGCCTGGGTGTATCTACTGCCACCGTGGCTATCACGTCGAGTAGCTCAGGTAGGGCTGTTGCCACGCGGCAGGGAGCCAGGTACGTAAGCAACAAGCCCATCTGAACCCCACGGCCCCACCTCACAAGGAGGGACTCACATCCGGCTATCTGAGGCACAGTGGTCTCCCTCGGACCCAGATCCTCGTTAATAATAACCGCCACCCCCCCGCCCCTCCCCTGAGCCCTCGGCTGATGGAATGCTCTGAAGCCTGGTGGGCACATTTCAACCAGAGGGACGCCACCCTCCGGGCCCAACCAGGTCTCCGTAATACCCGCCAGGTCCGCTCCTCCCTCTTGTATAAGATCGTGAATGAGGGGGGCCTTATTGACCACGGACCTGGCATTGCACAGCATCAGCCGAAGGCCCAGCTCCTGAGTATCTAAGCCACCTAGTATCCGAGCAGAGCCTTGGGGACCGGGGCAAGCAATTGCTCTCAGACAGCAAGTGCGAGCCCCCAGCACCTGATGTGGTCCCCTGCTCCCGCCATATCTGCCCCTCCCATTCACCGTGCCGATGGTACAGCCCTCATAGATATCGTCCCCCATCCCTTTCCCAATCCCTCGTCCGGTGCCCCCCGGATCGTTACCCTGTGCCGGGCACGGCTCTGACCCTGGTGGATTTCCCCCCCCAATCCGCCTTAGTCGTCTTCCCAATATCTTTAAAAGAATAATTACAACCCCCTCCCCCAGAACCCCTTAAAATCTTTAAAAATTTCCCTAAAAAGCCCCATAAATTCTTCCTTGCTCCATGCCATCTCTCCGGACTCCAAAGTCCGTCATCGAGATAGGCCCTCGATAATGTGGGGGGCCAAATCTGCGAGAGGGGAGAATCTCGCAGGGCGAGGAGTTCCGACACCGAATACATATAGCTATCAAGGGGAAACAGTCCAAGGGTGGGGGACCACTGATGTTATAAGCGTAGGGAAAATTCCAGTCCATGGTCAGGCTGCCAAGCTCCACTGTCCTCTCACGACAGTGGCTAAGGAGGTGCATATCATTCGACCCCGAAAGTTTCCAGGGTGGCCGTCTCTCACCAGGCCAATCCATGGGGACTTTGATAGAAAGCTCAAGGGTGAGGATAGCCATATTCCGCCTCCTCGGCCCCATGTCCATAGAACCAGTATCCCTCCTGGGATTAGCAGCATCAGGGAATCCAATATCCAGCTCAAAGGAGGTTTAAGTTCGTAAATGTTCGTCAGAATGATTGTTACTTCACTTCCTTTCTGGGAATCAGTCTTCAAGATACCAAGATACCAGTCTACCAAGAGCCTTGGTAGTACAAGGGTTTAAGGCACCCTGTTATTAAGCTGGTTATTAAGACCAGCTGCCTGCAATTACTGCAGGGTTCGAATCTCACCAAGGCTCAAGGTTGACTCAGCCTTCCATCCTTTCTAAGGTAGGTGAAATGGGGACCCAGTTTGTGGGGACAATAAGCTGACTTTGTATAAATATATACAAAAGGATGAAGGCTATTGCTGAGCACATTGTAAGCCGCCCTGAGTCTTCGGAGAAGGGCGGCATATAAATCAAATTAAAAAAAAAAAAAGATGATGCCAGAGCTACCGTAGGAATGATTGGCCTTTTGAAGCAGTATGTGCCATTATTTGATTTTGTATAAAGCTTATGTGTCTCCTCATCATTAAAGTTACAATGTTATTTTTGGGGTGATCTTCTCTTGCAAGCTTTCCTATGGAAATACTGAAATCTAATGAGATTAGATATTCTTGCAAAGGCTTGGCCATGTACAAATATTTAGCTTTTTGTGGTTACTATTGAGCAACATCCTGGATATTGTGGCAACTCAGGAGGCAGTACTGCCAACCTCCCAATCTGGAAAGTCTACTTTGATTGATTTAACCTGACCATCTGATTCAACATCTTCCCAAGAGAAACCAAAGTAATATTGGGATAGCACTGCAATTTATCCATTTGCAGTTTCTCCCAGCATTGCTTTGTTGGAGAAAGACTTGTGATGGATAGGAGATATTTCCCCGTGGGCTGTATTTTTACCTATGATCCTCATTGCCAGATGTATCAGAGGAAGGACTTGGTGGGAAGGGGTGGAAACATTCATTTATTTATTTATTTATTTTATTTATTAGTTCGATTTATATGCCGCCCTTTTCCGGAGACTCAGGGCAGCTTACAATGCATTAAGCAATAGCCTTCATACCTTTGTATATAACTGCGTAGTAGGGCTTTTTGGCCCCCCAAAGCGGTGTTCTATTTTATACAAAGTCAACTTATTGCCCCCACAAACCATTTTACCTACCTCGGAAGGATGGAAGGCTGAGTCAACCTTGAGCCTGGTGAGAATTGAACCCGCAGTAATTGCAGGCAGCTGGCAGCTAAGTGCTACTTTAACAGCAGTTTAGTCTGCTGCGCCACCAAGGCTCATGCCTTACTTCACAAAAAAAAAGGGCAGGTCTTTGCATTACTCTATCCTCCTTGCTTCTGAATTGGAAAGCCATCTGCTGTTCCTTTTGGGCAATGGGTTATCTAACAATGTCCAAATCCTTACAGATGGTGTTGACAGAACCTCAACTATCTAGAAGATGGAAGAATCTGCAGTGACAACGCTGGCCGTGAGAAAATTTGGCTGCTGGACCAGTGGTAGATTTCATGATGAGTCCCTTGTCATGCTAAGGATCCCTGGAGATACATTGCATCCTTTCATTGCTGTTTCCTTCTGTTCTTCTTTCTGCCTTCTCTCTCTTCTCCATCTCTGTTTCCATTGTGAAGGGCTGCTTATCTTAATGGTTATGTCAGAAGCAACACAGCAATTGTGTCATCAGAGATAGCACATACACACAAAAACAACAACTTGGAGTAAACAAAACAAGTTGGGGGACTTCACCTAAGGGCTGGCATCCCGGTGCATGTCTTAAAAGTATCTAAGGGCAGGCATCTTAATAGCAAGGGAATAGGCAGGAGGTCTCCAGTGGAAATGGGGGGGGGTGTTTGATGCAAGTCTTCTGTATGAAGAAGGAGACCTTTAAGTATATTATTGACGTATGGTCAAGAAGAAGGGACTTGCACATTGTTTGTCTGTAAATATGAGCTGTATTTCACTGACATTCAAACCACAATGGGAGCTGTGGTTTCATTGAGTGGGATAGAAAGGAAACTCAAAAGGCCAATTGGTTTTGCCTCAGTTACATTCAAAAAACTAGCTTTGAATCCTGAGCATTGTTTACATATGAAGGCGGATAGAAAAGAGCATGTTGCACATGCTTCAAACTCCACCTTCCTTCTTCTGCAGAGAAACAATGGGGTAAAGCCAGCCTAGTTTCCACACTTGTCCTGGAGAGCCATCTTGCATGGCCAAAATCCCTGCTGCTCTGGGAAACTACCAGTGCCCCAGTCCCAATTGCCAAATTCCTGTATGAGATTGTATGTATGTGGTGCAAATAAAATCTCTTGAGACATCTAGTGGCTGGGATAAGGGCGCCCCCAGAAGGAAGGGATACCAGCAGTTTTGGCTAGAAGCAAGTCAAAGCCTTCTGATCTTGGAGGAACCAGGGATTCCCACTTTCCTTCTCATTTTGCCATTAATAATAGATCTTTTGCATGGTACCTGTGTGTGTGTGCGTGTGCGTGCGCGTGTGTGTATAATTTTTTTTTTCTTTTTGGCGTCATAGCAGGTTTTGCCTTTTTAAATAATGTCAAGTTTCTAGAGAATTTCAGACACTTATAACTTTTTTCTTGACTTTCCAAGCTGGGCCAGAGCAGGATGCCAAAGAAATGTTGTAGAGCAGAAAGAAGAAAAGTTGAAGAGAGGGTTTTGTTCCTTTGATTTTGTGTGAATGAGAGAGATAGAATTTTAAAGGTGCTTCATTGAAATTTGGCATTGACATCTTGAGCATTGGGATGCTCAAAAATAGCTTTATGAAAGTTAGTATCATCTTAGAGAACATTGCTCTAAACATATATTTTTTTATGAAAAAGCAGAGGTATATACACCATGAAGATTTCTTCTTGATCTTGGTTTGGTAGCATTTGGAATTCAGAAGTTAGGGAAGCAAATTTACAACATCTGTTCCACCCCTAACTCTACCCCTGTTCCAAAGCGTTATCTAGATAACAACTAAGAAACAATTAGCAAAATAGCATTATGATTGCAGCCTCACAACTGTTGTGTTGTAATCCAAAAATGAATAACAGTGTGCACCAGCTGCAATTGCTTCCAAGCATCTCTACAGGCTGATTTGACCCTAGAGAAAATTAAAGGGAAAAATAAGGTGCCTTAAGCCTCTATGAGCAAAGATATTTAGTTAACACCTTAAACCTGCCAATTACCAGCAAGGCCAAAATGCTGAGGACTTTAGCTATGCTCACAAACAGAGAACCCTCATGCTGGTCTCTGCTTTAACCCACATTTTTCCACTTCTATACTAATTATGTGCTGAGAGGAAGAGACTGCTTTTAAACAGATATATGTGCATGCATGAAAATGCAATCTGTTCCAATGCATCACCTACCAGATAATAGCAAGTGATAAGGTGCCATTTAGAAATCAGTATTTCTGATCATAACAGTGCAGAAATAATTGATGCTTCAGCTCTATGATAACTGTCCAATCTATTCAATAACAAAATTACATTTTGGTATAATAACTTCCTGTTCCTCCTGTGGAAGAAAAATACCCATACATCTTCTTACCCAAAGATGCATCCTTAGTTCTTGGGTGGGTGGGTGTGAGAGAGAGGGAAAGATTGTGTGTGTGTGAGAGAGTGCCAAGCAACAAACTGTATATAGTGAACAGTAATCCAGTTTGAAACTGGTTGCATTATCATGGCTTCTTGCACTAGGAATTGTAGTTTTGTGAAGGTGCTGAAGATTTGTCATAATGAAGCCTATGCTACAGATTTAAATTGGTTTGAAAGTACTGCTAAATAGGAATACTCCCTCCCTTTCCAGTTATGTGTCCCTTTCCATGGTTCTTTAATTTCAACTCCAATACAGAGGCAAATTTTCCAGGGTTCAAAGACATAAGAGTGCAGCCAGCGTGAAAGTGGACATGCCCAAAATATGATGCAGTCAGGCCTATTTCATTAAGTCTGTAGTGCAAATTACTGTGGGTTTTCTTTTCTTCCCCCAAACACAGAATCCGTTTTTGATAGTAGATATTTTTTTCCACCTAATCAAACCTAACATAGTGCCAAACATTTGCTGCTGCTACTGCTGCTGCTTTTTGGTTAGAAAAGGGAAGAAGCTAAAGGACTGCTTCTCAAACTCTGTTATTGTTTTATTTTATTTTTTTTTAATTGAGGCTATAAACAGAAGAGAGATCATAATGGGTTTTAGATAGCAGTATTTTAAAGAATTAAAACTGGTATTTCTGAATAAAAAGTGCCAAAATACCCTTTTGCTTTGCTTTATGTTTACTAGAATGCCTGTTAACATAAAAGGAAATGTTTTTACGTTTAGTAAAGAAGGAGTGCAGTGTTGGAGGAAAGATTTTGGAAAGTGATTTTTAAGGCACCTGAGAAAAGACATAATCTGCTAGGCTAGTTTTAGGCATAGGTTGTTTTGCAATTGATGGATTCACATACTTGTTCATTGCTGTAGATCAGCCTTTCCCAACTGTGGATTCATTGCAAATTCCCAACCAGCATGGTGTGTGTATATATGGCCATAGCAGTGAGAAATTCTGGGAGTTGTAGTACAACATATCTGGAAGAGACCAGGTTAGGTGAAGCTGCTGTGTAAAATAGGCTAATTGGTTGCGGTAGGATAATCGTCGGGAAAGCAGGTGGAATGGTGTAGAAAATAATTTGGATGTAGAAACTGAGGGAACAGTTCTGTAGACTTGACTATTTTGGAAGTCTATAAACTATGTACTCATGCAGGAATCTGGGCTGGGGGGGAGGAGAAGTAAAAAAAATAAGTTGTTCCTCAAAATCAGGGTGCTATTGTAGATTAAGGAAGCTTTAGTCCAGAGCTGTTCAATCTTAAAAACTTGAAGATTTGTGGAATTCAACTTCCAGAATTCACATCCGATCTGGCTGTGGAATTCTGGGAATCGAAGTCCACAGGTCTTCAAGTTGTCAAGATTGGATACCCCTGCTTTAGTCCACGTGTGTCTGGAGAGCACCACGTTAAGGAAATCTGGTCAAAATACTTAACAGATTTGAAATGTTTATTTATTCCTTTGCTGAATATAGAAAACAGAGGTTATCTGATTATTAAAATATATTATTTTGGATAGACATGTGACATAACTTGCTATGGCTGGTACCCATGTAAAATTCTGGTGTTAATAACCATATGCATTTTTTCTTCTTCTATTTTTCCCCCCTTTGGAAAAGAGAACTTATTTTCCATGAACACTGTGTGTAGGTACATTGCTAAGTTGAGCATGTTTTTTGTATCTTGTGTAATGAACAGAGGCTTCAGATACATTTTAGAAGCCACCATCCCTTCCTCTGAAATCCTGTATTGAGTGCAGGTAGAAAACACAGAAGATTAAAAAAAAAAAAAAAACTCAACTATCCAAAATAAAATTAAATGTATTTATAAAAAAAAAATAGTTGCATGCTGAAGGCCATGGAAGTCAAATGTTTAGTATTTTTTTAAAAAGTGGCAGTGCCTTTCGTTTTTGTATTTACCATTTATTGCTCAATGCAACTGTTTTATAATAAGCAATTATATAATAGTTTCAGAAAATGCAAACTATTTCACTACATAGAAATGTGTGTTCTATTTTTTTTTCTTGTTCTCATTACAAGAGTGTGTAAGCTGGATACCTCTGCCTGCTCTGCGAGAGATAACTTTTACTATGCGGTTATCATGTATGAAATTTATATTGGTGCTTTTCTTTCTAGTGATTTATGACACTTGTTGAATGGGGAAATACAAATTTATGTAACATAATTGGGGGTGTGAGGGTAAGGGGATGAATTCTAGTTTTTATGCTGCTTTGAAATTTATTTGAGGGAATAGTAGTTGACGAGGAAAAATCCGGTAATGCAGTGGGTGAAGCATTTTCACACTTACTCTCTGCACTGTGATAACTTTCTGTACTGCAACCCAAAGCAGTTCAGCATTTTGAAGGGTCCTTGACTGTGATTCACAACAGAGAAATAAACTGTAGGCCTTAGTACTTGTTCTATGGCTAATTATTACCTTTAGAAAAGAGCCTGATTATATGGTGATGGGAGGTCATTGCCATTTGACGTGCTGCTTTGTCACCAATCAGCATGTACTCGTTCTCATTATCACTGTTAAATTCCCAATTATTGAAGCCCGATGTGAATTAGCCAGGATAACATTTTAGGCCTTTCCGGCTCAGTGCCCAAAATGTCTAGTTACTCATTATTATTTAATGAGATTTAAAAATCGGTCATCAATACTCAACTTTGGCCTGTTTAAATAATAAACACACTTTATTGAGACTAGTAGCTTGGTTTAAAAAGGAATGTATTTCTGTTTTGTAGCATCTAATCCAAATGTTATCTCTAATCCAGTGTTTCTCAACCTTGGCAACTTAAAGATGTGCCGACTTCAACTCCCTGAATTTCCTAGCCAGCTATACTCGTTGAGGAATTATGGGAGTTGAAGTCCAAACATCTTCAAGTTGCCAAGGTTGAGAAACACTGATCTAATCTAATGGCTCTTTAAAGCACATAAAGGCTTTGGAGCTTCACACAAGAAGAGATTTATGGGCATCCACATAGAGCTCCATAAACAAACAGAGAGTAGGATTAATTGGAGGAGTTAGCATTCAGTAAGGCAAATGTCCTATCCATAGGTTACAAGACCCTGTGTTCATTTTGTGTGGTAGACTCAGAGGCATCTGCAAGTGGCTGTCACCAGTGGATGGGTAATGTAATCAACATTGTCCCAATGGAAGCTCCACTGCTTTGGTAGATGCAGTTGTGAAGTTGTAGGCATGTAAGAAAGGGGTAGAGCTTACCTTGAGCTGCTGCTTTTGTCCTTCCGATGAAAGCTTTTTATCTTGCAAATTACTCTGGACACGCTTGGGTATTCAATCTCAAGAAGATTGCAAACTGCCTGCCATCAGGCAGCCTCTTTACATTCTCTAGACATTGAGCTTTGGCAGTGCCTTTTCCTCTTGTCTAAGATGAGGCGAAGAAATAAAAATATCCAAGAAAAAAATATTTTTTTCTTTGTGCCGTTTGCTGCTCCTTTTTGGCAACTGGAACCTTTTCCAGTTTGAAACCAAGATTCAACCCTATTTTCCTTGTCTTTTCTTGGGAGCAGGCAGAAGAACGTTTCTTGCTGACCAGTTCTATTCCCTGAACAAAGAACTGTTTTGATGGGAGACATACAACTTTGTAGGTGTTTCCTTGTCTGTGGCTGCAGAATTATGCTCTGATTTAGCCCTAGAACCCAGGGCCCACCTTACAGTCAGTAAGCGTTTCTTAGCATTTCTCTTCTCCTGGGTTTCAACCAGCTAAATTAGAAGTTCTGAATGTTCTTGTTTCCCCTTCCTCATCTCATTTAGGATGAGTGACCTACGGGCACATACCCTGTCTCATTAGGTGTTGGCTTCAAGAGTGTTGCATCCTCTGTTTTCACTAGACGAGATGGGGAAGAGAAACAAAGAGATGTTCAGAAGAGTAGCAGGTCCACCTTTCTTGTAGCGTGTAGTGAATACAGTCCCCTTCCTGCCTCTCCCATCAAGGGTTTTCTGGATGTGCCTGATTCTAAGAAGTAGAAAGAGTAGATCTTGTAGAAAGTATAATTTGCACACAGCTATGATAACACTAAAGTTGATTTTATACAAGTCATCAAAGTTTGCAAAGTGAGTTTTATTTTTTGTATTCCTTTAATCTTTACTTAAAAGGTGAATGTGTATTCCTCTGGGAGGAATTGCAAGAAAACAGGAATGTTAATAAATGTTTAAAAATAAAACAGAATACTTCCTCCCTTATTAATATATAACCCCTTATGTATTTATGCCTACTGTAAGCAACTGAAACAGCTTGGATTTCCATTTTGTTGCATGCCTGCTATCGGCAAAAATGAAAAAAAGAGCCTTCTATTGTACATGCATGCATTTTAGTCTTGATCTCTTTCTTTCTGTTTTATTTTATTTTATTTTGGTTAGGGGGAAGCGTGTATTTCCCCTGCATAAAGTTAGTGCACAAAGAAATATTTTTGCCTAGTTAATGTTGCCAAGCAATGCATATTTTTAAAAGAAATTTGTCATATATGGAAATAGCATGTTTGTTTACATGTATCAGCTTCCTGATTAATCAGAAGAAGAAGGAGGGGCAGGGAAAAAGTCTAATGTTTGGGGAATGCTGTAATTTCTTTGCAAGTGTACAGTTTTCAATTTGTTGTTATTACTGGTGAAAACACCCTTGTGATTTCAACTTGCTACAATATATATTTATTACTCGTTCTCCTTCCATGTAACTAGGAATCATGCCTATGTTTCATATCAACGTTATATTGAAAGTGAAGGGAGATGATTAATACAAGATTTTGTAACATTGGGGAGTGTTGCCTCTTTATTTGGTGTGTTTGGATCAAGGAGAACTCTTTTTCCTCTGAAAGGAGAGAAAAACAGGCCGTCTTAACTGTGAATTAATTTCAGCAATGGCTTTAATTCAGCATTCTGCAATATTGCAGAGCAGGATTGAATTGAATAGAAAAACGGAGTAAATATTTAAAATATATATATGCTCAAGACATCCTTTACCAACCTACCCCTGGTATTCTGTATAAAACAAGAATTCATGAGGGCATTTCTGGAGCTTATTCCAGTTTCTTGGGTATCTAATGGCACACAGGCATCAAAAAATTATGGCTCCATTCACACATTGCCTTGTTTCTCAATCTTATTAACTTTAAGATGTGTGGACTTCCCTGAGGCAAATTTTGAAGTTGAAGGCCACACATCTTAAAGTGGCTGAGGTTGAAAAATGCTGCCTTTAAGGCAGAGGATTATTCTGTACTTCAGAGTAGGTACGGTTCATATGTCTTCCATTCATATCCTTTGTAAGACCAAACAACTTACAAAAGAGAACATGTAGTTGGTCTGATCTGGATTTAGCACAATATATGAACCCAGTTTTTGAAAATTGTAAAGCCATGAATTATGGCATTGGGCCACAACTTCCAGCATTTTGAGGTCCTCACCAGGTTGGTGGGACATGTTGAAGGCCACATTTCAAAAAAACAATGCATTGTATTTTCTCTAGTGTCCTTCACTTCTTTGCCTCAACCAGACTCTGTGAGTTGAAAAAAAAGATGCTTATGAAGACGGTTTTTTTGTACTGCTTTATACATGTAATATTGTACAAGCTGAACCAATTGTGATTACATTGTAGCTACATTTTTTATTAAGTTAATGATAATTTATTTTGTGGTTTATTCATGTGCAGGCCAAATGTACTGGGGACATGGATTTTTTTAACCCAGTTACGAAAATTGTCTGCAAACTCAGACTCCAGATTCCAAATATATATTTTCAAATATATATTTTCATTGAATCAGGATAATAACTCTTAGGTATGCTGACACCCTATTTATTTATGTATTTATATATTCAGCAGATTTATATAGCCATAAATACAAATGATTCATTTACACATTTAAATATGTGGATGAATCATTTATCTGAAAATAAAAATGGAGCAAATTATTCCAGACTTGATGAAAGAGCTTGCCGTAGCCAGAACCGCCTTAATAATTAATTGAATAAATTAAAGTATTGGAGAGACACAATCATTTTCATGTCAAGTTGCTCTCCCTTTCTGTATTTCATGTATGTTCTTGTACAACATGGTTCTGAATATATATAGTTAAGCAATTCCATGATGTTTACAATTGCACTTTTCCAGTTACATAAGAGGTATTGCTATTGGGCCGGGGTGGGTTCTACTTACCTTTACTACCAGTTCACAGCAGAAGCTTCTACACGTGCGCAGATTGTCAATTATGATGTTCGGATGGGTGGGCGGAGCTTCCCGCCAATTTTACTACCGGTTCTAAAGAACCAGACAGAACTGGGAGCAACCCACCACTGTATTGGGCCACTAAAAGGGTAGATGCAAAGACCACCTTTAGAAAGTACAAATGTCATGGTAAAAGATACCTAGTAAATCTGCCAACATAAATTCTGTAAAGTAAATACATAAGATGAAAATCCTCCCTGATTTAATCAAGGAACACTCTCAAAATCAAAATCCAGCATACCATATACTGTATGCTGGCAACTTGAAAGCCTGTTTATTTGTGTGTGTGTTTTTCTTGTTTGCTGCCCATCTCACTAAGATGATCTTATTTATTATTTTATTTATTTTATTCAATTTGTATACCACCCTTCTCCTAGTGGACTCAGGGCGGTGCACAGCCAGAACTAAAACACATACCAATACAAAATTTAAAATTATTAAAAGAATTACATACTTCAGCCCAAATTTAAAACAATTCGAATTAAAACCCATTGACAGATTAAAAGCTAAAAAGCTAAATAACTATTAAAAAGGGGGGTGGGTTCACGCCAGCCCTGCTTAATGGAAAAGAAAAGTTTTCAGGGCATGGCGAAAGATCTAGTTGGCTTACAAACATTAAAAGCCAATAAAACTTTGAAGCAATAAATAATCATAATAGTAATAATAAACAATTAAAAGTTGGGAAGGAAAGGAGCAGAATGCATCTTAATCCATCAGTCCCCTCCAGCATGAGGCACCTCGGGTTGGGGCCCCAGGCCAACTGGCAGAGCCAGGTCTTCAGGCCTTTATAGAAGGTCAGAAGGAGGGGTGTGGATCTCAGTCAAGGGGCACAACGTTCCAAAGGGCAGGAGCCACAGTAGAAAAGGCTCTTCTCTTGGACCCTGCCAACCCAAATCTCTTGACCGATAGGGTCTGCAACATGCCCATCTGCCAACACAGGTTGAGGGAGAGGCAATCCCATTGGGGTGAGACGGTTCCTCAGATCGTATGGACCCATACCATGAAGGGCTTTAAAGGTGATAAACACCTTAAGTTGTACCCAGAAACAAATGGGCAATCAGTGCAGCTCACAGAACAGTGTTGTAACATGGGCCATCCTATGGGCCCCAAGAACTTCCCATGCTGCCACATTCAGCATCTCTTTGCAATACTCTTCAGGGGTAACCCCATGTAGAATGCATTGCAGTGGTAGAAGCGTAAGATGACCATGGCTTGAGTAATTGAGCTCAGAGACTCCAGATCCAGAAAAGATACCAACATAAAGCTAGGCAAAGGCTCTCCTAGCCAATTTAACTGGATTTCTCTAAAAACATTACTAATGCCGAGAAGTTTCTGTTAGAAGTTGTCTTTTTCTCAACATACTATGAGAAGAAGGCCTTGCCTTCTCTGGATGCACGGCTATCTTTGGAAGATCATATGACGGCCGTGGCCAGGGGAGCTTTTTATCGGGTTCGCCTGATACACCAGTTGCATCCCTTTCTGGACCGGGATGCCTTGCGCACAGTCACTCATGCCCTCGTCACGTCACGTCTGGACTACTGCAATGCTCTCTACATGGGGCTCCCCTTGAAGAGCACTCGGAGGCTCCAGCTGGTCCAGAATGCGGCCGCGCGGGTGGTTATGGGTGTGACTCGGCGTACCCCTCCTGCGTGAGCTGCACTGGCTTCCTCTGGTCTTCCGAGTGCGATTCAAGGTGTTGGTTACCACCTTTAAAGCGCTCCATGGCTTAGGACCGGGATATATACGAGACCGCCTTCTGCCAGCAACAACCTCCCACCGGCCAATACACTCCCACAGAGAGGGGCACCTCAGGCTGCCGTCGGCCAAACATTGCCGACTGGTGACACCCAGGGGGAGAGCCTTCTCTGTGGGGGCACCAGCCCTTTGGAATGAGCTGCCCCTAGAGCTTCGTCTTAGCCCTGACCTACGCACTTTTCGCCGTGCCCTTAAAACCCTTCTGTTTCAGCAAGCCGGACTGTCCTAATATGAATTTTAAATGGGTGTATGTGTGTTTTAAATTGATGGCCAAATTTTATATATTTGATTTTAATTGGTTTTAAATTTTATAAATTCATGTGTTTTAATATGGCTGTACACCACCCTGAGTCCCTCGGGAGAAGGGCGGTATAGAAATTTAATAAAATTAAAACTTAAACTTAAACTTGCAAATTTGTAATGTTATACCGTATACCTAGACAAGATGCATAAAATCTTTAAGCATCTTCTCACATACAATGAGTTGTTTCAACAAGTTAGCACTTAGATATGCCAGCTTTATCCAACAGATACCACTCCAGTTGTGGTGGGTCTTAACGTGCAAAACTCAACTACATCAACAACAACACACCTGACACATCTGGTTTAGAGGAAGCTGCTCTACAGAGTGAGATCACAGTCATTATGGGCAAGGGCCACAGTTTCTACTGGATTGCACCTGAAGCAAGAGATGGGAATTAAGAATCTATTCCTTCTTCAAAATTTCATAGCAGAGGTAAGCAAAGATGGTGAGCTATGACTAGTTCAAGGTATTTCACCACTATTAATTTATATTACCTATATAGCACCACTCAACCATACTTGAAGTGTCCCAAAGGTGCTTTTTTCAAGAGGCAACTGGATTTTCTGGTTTTTCTTTGAAGACATTTCGCTTCTCATCCAAGAAGCTTCTTCAGCTTTGACTGGATGGTGGGGACTGGAAGGATTTATACTCCTTACCCAAGGTGTAAGGATTTATACCCAGGAGTATTTGTTGCCTCTTGAAAAAAGCACCTATGGGACAACGATGACCTGGATGACTGAGAATATCCATAGACATCCTTCAAGTGATAGATATATAGCCTGCCTTCATTATGATATTTTGGAGGAATTACTAGAAAACACTAAGTTTTTAATAGGAAAATGTTTTGCATGTTGCACATGAAGATAGGTATAATGAGAATTTTATCTATCCTGTTTTATGTTTGTCAATGTATGAATCTTCTATGTATAACAAGTTTGACACCTTGATTCTTCACATAAGTCCCAATTATGTATCTAGAAAACCTGTTACATGATAAACAAAATGCAAACACAAGCTGTGTTAAATAACATAGCCAATTGGGTATGAAGCCTGAGCATAATGAAAAATGTAGGCCATGTTTCATTTTATGATTGGTAGCTGCTTTATGTGCTCATTTGGATGGTGGTTTACGTAATCTGCCTTATAGCCAAACACGACAGCATCTTCTGTTCCTAAACAGGGCATTCCTCAGTGGCTTCTTCCTTACTAAACTCAACCAGTTCTCCAATCATATCACAAGACACATATCTAAACTCCCACTGAATTCAGCAATATCTTTATTAAAATCTTTCTTGCTCTTCTGACTTTCCCCAGTATCTTTCCCAGGGGGTCTAGCAAATATATTAATTTGTATCTGAGCAGGTGTGCTTGGAAGATGCATCTCTTTGACTTTTAGTATGATAACAAATGTTAATTATACCTGCTGCTTGGGATTATACCATATCTGTATTCTGCAGACTTTCCCTCCCGTGCAAC